TAGAGCCTTATAACCTGCGCTGGGTACTAACCACACTCAGCCCACCCACACTACCCTGCGTGACCACCAGAGTCACGCTAGAGCCTTATAACCCGCGCTGGGCTTTCACACAATGGCATTAAAAAACGCTTGTTACGGAACTCCCACCGGGGCGTAGGGGTTAACTATTGTGTTGAGAATATTCTAAGCTGATTTTCCTTATGTTCTTCGGGGTATTAATATAATAAATTCACCTTTCAATAAAAAGTAATAAAAAAATTAGGTAGATATATACTGTAGTGAAACCTGTATTTAACAAACTATATAGAGGTGAAAGACCACTATATCAAGGGTCCATTACATGTGAAACCTCCATCTAAAGGAGTATATAGTGAGAGAAGTCTATTATATAGTGGTCTCACAGTAGATGGATAGATGGATGGATAGATAGATAGATAGATAGATAGACAGATATACAGATGGATTAGATAGTCATATAGAGAGGTAGTAGGCAGCTATCAAACAGGGAGGAAGATATAGGAAGCATAATGTGTTGTGTAATGGTAGACCCTGCTGCCATATGTGACCAAGTTGATGATCTGACTTTCTGCCTCATTTACACACAGGGTCTCAAATGTTTCCCTGACAACACAACAAATATAACCGTACTCACTCTTGATCTGTTCAATTCTTTCTCCTAATTTATTCACCCATGTTATCAGTTGACAATAATATTAAACCGGGATCTTCTCTGATGGACCCCACTGGTCGGGAAGGCTGATCATCAAACTACTGGGGCCTCAACTCACCGCGGTTGCCGGACGATCGGCTTTTTTCACACTTCATTTTTCCAACATTCGCGGCCTGAGATCCAACTTTCCTCTTCCCCCGATCTCTTACTTGTATCTGAACTTCAACTGACCAAAGCAGCTTCACCCAAACCTTTTCAAGTCTCTAACTACCACCTTTATACCTCCTTCCGTTCTAAGGGAGGTGTATGCGCCTACTACAACACACGTACACCTATAGCTCGACTCACGGATCTTGAATCATCCCTTTATGATGTCATCTGGTTCAAAATATCTCTACCTACTGTGACTATTTTTCTTTGTTTCCTAAACTGTTCTCCCAACTCTACCAACTATTTGGAACTCTTTGACCATCTCACTTCTTGCCACGAGTCGTTGCTATCCACACGCCCCAACACCGAGATCCTCTACCTAGGGGATTTCAATGTACATCACAGAGAGTGGCTTGGCCCTGCAAGGGATGACCCAGGTGGAGCTGAGGCACTCTCTTTTTCCTTACTTAATGATCTGGAACAAATAATCAAACACCCTACACGTGTTCCTGATCAACACGATCAACTTGCTAACATTCATGATCTTTGTTTTACCTCTAACCCCTCACACTATTCATGCTCAATTTCTGCCCCCTTAGGGTCTTCTGATCACAATCTTATATCTATTAAATTAAACTGGGCACAACCACCTCCCCCATCCCCCTCTAAACGTCAACTATGGCACTATCGGAGGACAAACTGGCAATCCTTGCGAGAATTCTACACCGACTTTCCTTGGGATGAATGTTGCCTTTCCACTGGGGACGCCTCGGTATGTGCTGACAGCATTGGTGGGGTTATACAAGGTGGTATGAGGTCATTTATCCCATCCTTTCACTTTACATGATGGTTGATCGCTCCTGCAGGGAGAGAGGTAGGCCATATCAAGCTATGAAACTATCTCCTTCTATTACCCACAACTCTTTCATTACATCTGTGCAGCATCTCCTAATGGGGAGGTAGAAACTTGGTTAAATTCAAGAGTAATGAAACTCAGTATTTACCAATTCTAAAACAGATATGCTAGGCCTCACCATTTCCTCTAATATGTCATGGAAGCCACACATCCTCAACATTGCTAAAGCTGCCTACCGATAGCTGGGAATGCTGTACAGGTGCCGTAGCTACTTCACTCCTGAGCAGTTGCTTCAAGTATATAAGAGATTCATTCGTCCTAACTTGGAGTACTGCTCTCATATCTGGGGTGGCTCTTCAACTGTTAGATAGGGTGGAATCAAAGGCATTTCGTCTTATTAACTCTCCTCCTTTAGTCGACAATCTTTCTTCCCTTTCTCTTCACCACAATGTTGCTTCACTCTCTCTCTTTTACAGGTACTTTATCGGGCAATGATCGCTGGATTTGGCATCCTGTGTACCGCCAGCAAGGCCGTGGGCTCGTAACACACGTCTTGCCCGCGGTGCACACCATTTCTCTGTGGATGTCAGTCACACAAGAATAACCCGTTACAGTACATCCTTCTTTCCTCACACAGCCAAAGTGTGGAATGCTCTGCCTTCTTCTGTGTTTCCACACTCATAAAATCTGTCTCACTTTAAAAAGCTGGTTTTCCGGCATCTTCGTGGTGTAAATAAATATAACCTTATTCTTGTCTATTTTTAATTTCCTTCTAATTTTATTTTTTCGCCCCCTAGGCCCCATTGTGGGTCGATAACCTGTGTCCGGGTGGGCTGTTACCCTTAAAAAAGCAAAACAAAAAAATTAAATAAATTATTTGGGTGGATTCTCACTTTGAAAAAAATTACCAACACTGTAAAAATAACACAATTTTCATAACACCACTTTTACAGTTACAATATTTTCTCATTTAGCGAACTAATTCAAGCCGTCCCTTCCCATTAAACAAAATTTCCACTAAATCGAATTTCCATTATTTTTGCTCAATTTAGCGAATTCACAAAACCAAGTGCGTGATTCCGTTAAATTTTGCCATTCGTGAGTGGGGTTTGTTTACATCCGCTCTGCCTGTGTTGGGGAGAAAAAAGTTTGGAAATAAGACAAATTGTAAACAAACATCTAACCCCTAGTTTAAGGTCAGCCGTGAATATTGTTTCTATGTTCATACCAAGCGTCTGAGGCGTGTCCGTAGGTGTGAGCGTATTAACGGAATTAATCTCGATTGAGCGAACTGGTTCACTAAATCGAGTGGAAAATAATGATAAAAATTCATTGAGCTAAATCCAGTTCGTTATATCAGATTGCATTAAATCACCGTACCTGTAAACAATACTGTATTTACGTTGGGTAAATAACAACAGGTTCCTCGTGTCCACCATGTTTGTTATTGATCAAAGTTAATTTCATAAATACATTTTTAAAAGAATCCAATTAAGTTAACCTAATCCAACATACAAGATTATAAATCCACGAGTTTAACTTTGACGGATTAGATGACTCACGAGAACAAACATTACATACTTGCTCACCGTTCCTGGGCATGAGGTTCGACGAGTCATGGTTTGTGGTCGTGTTTTCCCGTAGTTGCCCAGGAGCTTGTGTTTACTGTACACCATACGCTCTCCAGGGCCAGAGCCAGGAGTATCAAAAGGGGGGGGGGGGACATGGTTAACACGGGTCCAACTAATTACCCAAACGTAGCCAAATATAGCCGGAATGAAGTCAAATAATGGTCCTAGATGAATAAATCGGACTGCCAATCACTTCTCGACTAGTGTTTGGTGTCACAAAGTCACAAAAAAATTGGTAAACTTAATTTAATCTGAGTTAATAGATCAAGTGCATGTACCTAACCTAACTTAATTTAACCTAACCTAATCTAACCTAACCTAACCTAACCTAACCTAACACAACTCAACTCAACTCAGATTAAATTAAGTTTTCCAATTTCTTGTGACCAATATCATGGGTAGGAGTTGGTTGATCACCCCTGCAAGGTTTGGTTAGGTTGAGACATATCCCGTCAGCCCTCTACTGAAGACGTTCCTGACCTCAGAGCTGACACTACAACACCTAGGCAACAACCCTTGACCCCACAACACCTAGACGCCACACCCTTGACCCCACAACACCTAGACGCCACAACCCCTTGACCCCACAACACCTAGACCCCAACCCCTAGACCCCCACAACCCCTAGACGCTCACAACCCTAGACGTACAACACCTAGACCCCACAACCCTTAGGCCACAACACCTAGACCCCACAACACCTAGACCCCACACAACCCCTAGGCGCCACAACACCTAAACGCCACAACTCACCTGTTACAACACCTAGATGCCTACACTCACCTGTTACAACACCTAGACCCCACAACTCACCTGTTACAACACCCAGACCCCACAACTCACCTGCCACAAACCCTAGACCCCACAACTCACCTGTTACAACCCTAGACACAACTCACCTGTTACAACACCTAGACCCCACAACTCACCTGCCACAACCCCTAGACCCCACAACTCACCTGCCTGACCCCTAGACGCCACAACTCACCTGCCACAACCCTAGACCCCACAACTCACCTGCCACAACCCCTAGACACAACTCACCTGTTACAACACCTAGACCCCACAACTCACCTGCCACAACCCTAGACCCCCCAACTCACCTGCCACAACCCCTAGACCCCAGCTCACCTGCCACAACCCCTAGACCCTACAACTCACCTGCCACAAACCCTAGACGCCACAACTCACCTGTTACAACACCTAGACCCACAACTCACCTGTTACAACACCTAGACCCCAACTCACCTGTTACAACCCCTAGACGCCACAACTCACCTGCCACAACACCCTAGACGCCACAACTCACCTGTTACAACCCTAGACCCCACAACCCTTAGACCCCACAACCCCTAGACCCCCTCACCTAGACCCCACAACTCACCTGTTACAACCCCTAGACCCCACAACTCACCTGTTACAACCCTAGACGCCACAACTCACCTGTTACAACACCTAGACCCCAACTCACCTGTTACAACACCTAGACGCCACAACTCACCTGTTACAACACCTAGACCCCACAACCCCTAGACCCCACAACTCTCCTGCAACCCCTAGACGCCACAACTCACCTGTTACAGCCCTAGACCCCACAACTCCTGCCACAACACCTAGACCCCACAACTCACCTGCCACAACCCCTAGACCCCACAACACCTAGACCCCACAACCCCTAGACCCCACAACTCACCTGTAACAACACAATATAACACCTAAGACGTGGTCACCCAGAGGCGGCTCTTAACGCTGACAGTCACCGTGTTATCCTCGCCACTCGGGAACTAACGCCTCAGGGAACACTACACTACGTCAACCAATCAGAATTTAGTATTTTATATCATTGACCAATCAGAATTTAGTATTTTTTATCATTGACCAATCAGAGAAGGAATACTATAAGTTCCCGAAGAGACCCAGAATCCTCTACGTTGGTGGCCTGTGATTGGCTGATGATGTAAACAAGGAACAAATGACCATCGGGTGTAGTTAACATTATCATTCATTCCCAATTAAAATATAATTAATTAATCTTTATCTTTTAGACAAATATAAATGTATTAGAGTTAAATAATTAATAAAATGAATAAATAATTAATAAATATCATGAAATTGTTTAAAGTTATAAGAGAAATTAATGATAATAATAAATGGTGGTTGTTAGTGTAAGCGATCACCTTGTTAACCTCGCCATTTTCGTCCCCTAGTTCAGTGTACCTCATTAACCTGTCTTAACTGATGCATTAACCACCATGGAAGGAGTGGCTGTATAGTGTGGTGTACCTCATTAACCTGTCTTAACTGATGCATTAACCACCATGGAAGGAGTGGCTGTATAGTGTGGTGTACCTCATTAACCTGTCTTAACTGATGCATTAACCACCATGGAAGGCGTGGCTGTATAGTGTGGTGTATCTCATTAACCTGACTTAACTGATGCATTAACCACCATGGAAGGCGTGGCTGTATAGTGTGGTGTACCTCATTAACCTGACTTAACTGATGCATTAACCACCATGGAAGGCGTGGCTGTATAGTGTGGTGTACCTCATTAACCTGACTTAACTGATGCATTAACCACCATGGAAGGTGTGGCTGTATAGTGTGGTGTATATCATTAACCTGACTTAACTGATGCATTAACCACCATGGAAGGCGTGGCTGTATAGTGTGGTGTACCTCATTAACCTGTCTTAACTGATGCATTAACCACCATGGAAGGAGTGGCTGTATAGTGTGATTGCCTCATTAACCTGTCTGCTGATGCATTAACCTGCCATGGAAGGTGGCTGTACATGGTGTGGTGTGCCTCGATAACCTGTCTTGCTTCGGTGCATTAACCACCATGGGCGTGGCTGTAGGTGTGGTGTACCTCGATAACCCTGTCTTAACTGATGCATTGTAACCACCATGGAAGAGAGGCGTGGCTGTGGTGTGGTGCCTCATTAACCTGTATCTTAGCAGTAAAGTAACCACCATGGAAGGTGAAAACATATGGTGTGGTGTGTCTCGTAACCTGTCTTAACTGATGCGGTATTACCATGGAAGGGGTGGCTGTATAGTGTGGTGTAACTCATTAACCTGTCTTAACTGATGCATTAACCACCATGGAAGGCGTGGCTGTATAGTGTGGTGTAACTCATTAACCTGTCTTAACTGATGCATTAACCACCATGGAAGGAGTGGCTGTATAGTGTGGTGTATCTCATTAACCTGTCTTAACTGATGCATTAACCACCATGGAAGGCGTGGCTGTATAGTGTGGTGTATCTCATTAACCTGTCTTAACTGATGCATTAACCACCATGGAAGGCGTGGCTGTATAGTGTGGTGTATCTCATTAACCTGACTTAACTGATGCATTAACCACCATGGAAGGAGTGGCTGTATAGTGTGGTGTATCTCATTAACCTGTCTTAACTGATGCATTAACCACCATGGAAGACGTGGCTGTATAGTGTGGTGTATCTCATTAACCTGACTTAACTGATGCATTAACCACCATGGAAGGCGTGGCTGTATAGTGTGGTGTATCTCATTAACCTGTCTTAACTGATGCATTAACCACCATGGAAGGCGTGGCTGTATAGTGTGGTGTATCTCATTAACCTGACTTAACTGATGCATTAACCACCATGGAAGGAGTGGCTGTATAGTGTGGTGTACTCATTAACCTGTCTTAACTGATGCATTAACCACCATGGAAGGCGTGGCTGTATAGTTGGTGTATATTAACCTATCTTAACTGATGCATTAACCACCGTGGAAGGGTGGCTGTATAGTGTGGTGTATCTCATTAACCTGTCTTAACTGATGCATTAACCACCATGGAAGGCGTGGCTATATAGTGTAGTGTACCTCATTAACCTGTCTTAACTGATGCATTAACCACCATGGAAGACGTGGCTGTATAGTGTAGTGTATATTAACCTATTTTAACTGATGCATTAACCACCATGGAAGGAGTGGCTGTATAGTGTGGTGTATATTAACCTGTCTTAACTGATGCATTAACCACCATGGAAGGAGTGGCTGTACAGATTAAACAAGAGATAAATGAGGAAGAGATTAAACCACCATTAAAGAAGAAGTACAACAGACCACCAACCTCTAGGATAGTCCATGATGCTATAATTAACGTGGGATCAAAGGAAAAAGGAGCATCAGTCCAGAAGATTAAGAAATACATCTTCTCTACCTACAGACTAGATGACAGGAAGACAGAAATATTAATTAACAACTATATAAAGAAAGCTGTAAGGAGTGGCAAGCTTATAAGATGCTCAGGTAGTCGTAAAGGTGCTCAAGGATTTTTTAAACTTGCCACACAAAAAAGAACTTTACCCACTGTTGATAAGAAGACCTTACAACAGCAGGAGGGATATATTGAGAAGAGGAGTATTACTAACCCAAGTCTCCAGCTAGTGAAGGAGGAAGGTTGTGAGGAGGAGAGAAGAAGAGGTTGTAGGGTGACTGTGGTAATGGATGTGATAGATGAGGTCACTGTGGAGCCTCTCTTAACCTCACAGTTTGTTAAGCCTTACCGTCTACACTATAAACAGGTTGGTAATCTGTCTGTCTGTCTGGTATCTGTCAGTCTATACATATATTAATTTGTCTATATCTTTGTCTTTCTATGTATCTATCTGTGTCTCTATCCATCTATCTGTCTCTCTATCCCTCTATCTGTCTCTCTATCCCTCTATCTGTCTCTCTATCCCTCTGTCTATCTGGCCATCAATATATCTGTCTGTGTTTGGATTACTTTGAAGGGTTCAGGTGAAGGTTACTCCTCCTCCCTGGCCAACTTATTTCACCTAATTTAAACACCTTAATACTACCTTATGGAGTTAGGTTAGGTTAGGTTAGGTTAGGTTAGGTTAGGTTAGATTAGATTAGGTTAGAGTGTTTAATCTTCTGGGGTGGCTAAACTTCATACCAGCCTTTGTTATATTTGATTATTTGTATTGTTATTTACAGTATTAAATATATTGACTTTTATGTAGGAAGATCGACCAGAAAATAATAATATTACTTTATAGCGTTTATTTGGAATTTTTTTATTTATTGTTTTAAAATTTCAGGTTTAGGTTAGGTTAGGTTAGGCATGTGCAGTAGACTAATAGTTAAGTTGTTAGACCTGTATACATTAGGTTAGGTTAGATCTGTATACATTAGGTTTAATTAGTCTATTATTTATGAGTTTTTACCCCACATTTGCTCTCTACTTCAACGCCCCGCACCCACCTACTGCCATCAAAATTGCACATCTTTAAGTAAAATAAACTGGGGTGTCTAATCTTCAAGTGCCTCTATCTGTTCATTTATTATCTGTAGTTAAATGATTTCAAATTTGTGTACAGTATATAAATTGATTACTTTTTATTGATTTTTTATATTTATTTATTTTTCAGAATGATGTTAAAAAAATCTGGGATCTAGTTACTCTCCATGAAAGCGTCTCAGTCATTATATATAACACGGATAAGAAAAAATTAATACTGGTGCGGCAGTTTAGGCCAGGTATGTTATTATTATTGTTTGGGGGGAGGGGTTACCAGTCAGTACTATACTTTCTCTTTACAATTGATTGGTCGATGGTTCGATCCCCGGGCAGGATGTAAATATGAGTAAGTATCTTTATGCCATTTGCGTCTGTCTACCTTAAGATTAATCACCCTAGTTAATCTTCTCTGGTGGAGACTTGGTGTTTAATGATGTGGTAAAATGGACTAATGTTCGCATGATCCCAATACAGGCAGTCTCCGAGTTACGACCGGAGTATGTTCCTGGACCTTGTTCGTAAGTCAAAACAGTATTGATTCCGTGGGTTAGGTTAGGTTAAAATACATTCCTGTCCATATTAACGTAACAATAATACCTCGTACGTAATAATGTAAACACTGTAAATAAAGTGGTTATATAAAATTAAGTAATATAGATTTATAGGTTAGGGATATATTGGACCAGTTCGTGTGTGTAGGTGTTTGTAAGTCAGACTGCCAGTACTGTTTCTGATACACCCGGGTCTGTTGTCCCCTCCCCCTCCCCCCACCAGCCGTCTACTACAATGGCATACCACCAGAGGACCGGGTAGACGTCACCATCGACACGACCAAATACCCGGGTATCAGAGGTCTGACCCTGGAGCTGTGTGCCGGCATCGTGGACAAACGCAAAGACCTCGTGGAGATTGCCAAGGAGGAGGTGTTGGAGGAGTGTGGATATGACGCACCTCTGGAGAAGTTTGAGAAGGTGATAACGTACAGGTGAGTTTATTGTGGGCTGCTATGGAGGCTTGGGGTTAGGTTAGGGTCACTACCTGGGGTTATGTTAGGTTAAGTTAACATTCGAGTGTTTAATCATCAGGTAAAATAAGCTAGGGGCTAATCTTGAGGTGATGCGGTTAATGTTGCCGTACGTTATGTTAATAAATATTTCTCCGCAGATCTGGTGTGGGAGTGTCGGGTGACCGGCAGACTATGTTCTACGTGGAGGTGACTGACAGCATGAAGGTGTCCGACGGTGAGTCGCTGCTGCCTTGTTTTATTTTTATTATTTACGAGAAAACTTACGGGTGAGTGACTTCCCTTCTCGTGTGGTCTGTGTTTCATTGAGGTCTTGTGAAAATTTAAGTGAGCGTTCCTGAATCACAGAAATTTGTACATAATCTTTATAATAATTTGTTGATATATAACTTAAGGCTTTTAAAAATTAGTATGTAATTATGATGTTGTGGAGTGTCGGTGATGTAGTGGTGATGTGTATCTCCCACCACTGTGTCCCAGCCAGGAACAGATAGTGAAGGCTGTTACCAGTGTTACAGACCAACTACCTGAGTGGCTACTGTATTAAACTGGTGAAATAATCAATGAATGACGATAAATAATTCCCAAACCCACTAAAACTGTCTGTATGTCTGTCTATAAAACCTCCAACAGCAACATTAAATTCCCTTTTGCTATCTTTCGAGGTCATGACCATTTAAAAACTGTAATAACCCATCATTTTTCACCCCATTTTTTCTATATCAAGACACATCGCCTCGGAGCCAAGCAAGTGCTGTATCCATTTACCTCTTAAACCAGAGTGTTACAGCATCATACAGTAACTACATGACTGGATCTTACCTTTGTTGTAATATAGTTGTCATAATGCGTCTCATGATGTGTTTTGTGTGTTACAGGAGGTGGTGTGGCTGAGGAGGGTGAGATGATAGAGGTAGTGGAGTTGTCTATGGCTGAGCTGCAAGTTTTCATCAAACAGTCGGAAGTGAACTGCCCTGGAGGTCTTCTGTTTGGCCTCATGTGGTTTCTACAACACAAGGCGCCCAAAGACTAACATCATGTGGATGTATGAGGCTGTTATCTTGTGCAGTGATGGAACTACTGGACCTTAATGCTATCAAAATATATCCTGCTCCTGAAAACTGTTTTAATTGTAGACTCATAGAGTGAAACTAATTATTTCAAGTGTAGTAAATGGATCCAAAATGGTGATGGTTACAAGTGAACAATTTTGCCCAACACTTCATGATAAAGTGCCACTGGGCACCTACTTACACCTTCACTACAGGGACGCCACTTTAATATAATATTTGAATAACGTGATACAAGTTTATTCAGTACAATGGGGACTGTACACAAGTGGTTAAGGACAGTTTATTCTGGATCACAATAAACTACATATTGAGAATAATTAATGTAATCACAATTGAAATATTGTATTTATGAGAAACTTTGGTGGTTGTGGCCACACTGTATTGTACTGTACCGAGGAGTGTACAGTACTGTACTGTACCGAGGAGTGTACTGTACTGTACTGTACCGAGGAGTGTACAGTACAGGTAGTTCTGCTATAACGCGATAATTGTGTTCTTGTAAAATATCGTGTTATAGAAAATCGCGTAATAGAAATAACAGGGCTTATGGAGAAAATAGGGTTAGGTGCAGATTACTCGAAATCGAAAAAATTTAGTAGTTAGCCTAACACAAAGGATAGCACAGTCTAAATAAATGTTACATTCATATCTAATAATGAAATCATACAGTAAATGTAACACTTTACTTGATGGGGGAGAAGGGTGATTTTGAGGTTGATAAAATCGAGCTTCTCTTCAAGTGTTATATCCTTTCTTTTACGATCATCACCAGGAATTCTATCACCAGAACGCTTCTTGTTGATATTCTTCTTTAATATATTCACATTATTTAAAAAAAAAAATTTTTTTTCTAATTTATTGTTTTTTTATTACAAATATTAATGATATTCTTTATTTCAGGGGTTTAGATGCATATTTATGCACTTTTTTACAATTTTTACAATTTTATATTATATTTTTCAGTGTTAAGTGGTTGTATTTGGGGGCCTGGAACGGATTAATCCTATAACGAACGAATGCTATAACGAACAAGGTTCTAGAACCAATTAGATTCGTTATAGGATACCCCACTGTACCACAAAATTGGAGAAATAGTAAGCAAAAATCGCGTTATAGCAAACAAGCGTTCGCGTTATACAAATATCGTTCCTAATTCATAAATCGCGTTAGAGCAAATTCGCGTTATCAAAACACGCGTTATAGCAGAACTCACTGTACTGTACTGTAATGTCTCTGTATATGTAATTATTCATCACCAGGAAACATCTTGGTGTCCAACTTAACAAATATTTGACTATATTAACTTATTGTTATGTTCTGTATTTTATTTAAAGATCACCTAATATGTTTTATATTATACAATTATTATAGTAGTTAACTTTCATTTTAAATATATAAACAATTTATTCCAATATGAACACAATATATAGTAAAGTCGTGTGTAATAAAGATGTTATTTTGAATATTGTTTTGTTATGAGCAAAAGTTGTTGTAAGGTTGGTCGTGGAGTTGTGAGGCTCCTATAACAATACCGGACCTCACATTATATCTTACACTGTGAGACCATAGAACCTTGTAGGAACAGATCCAAGCACACTGTATAAAGGCACAGCACTTTATCTCTGATGCAAGAGTCAATACTGTTTACTAAAGTTGTATCTACACTACACATCCAGTCCCACAATGTTCTGACTACTGGGGTCTGATAAACACCCATTGTCACGTGTACTGTGCTATGTAATACAGGCAGCCCCCAGGTTACAGAAGGTAAGTGTCCTTGAAAATTTATCCGGAACACAAAACCAATTTCCCCATTGACTTCCATTTTATAATTGGAGATGCGTTCCCAAAGAAATATTGCAGGCAAAAGGACATATTACAAACACATTTATGAATGAAAAACTATTTTTTTAACACAAACTACATTGCTTATTTTATGATACAATATAATAATAAATATACAAAACACTTGATTTAACTTAACACAAATGATGTTGAGTGCTGAGTTAGGTGAGACAGTGAGTTAAGGTGGTTCTATCAGAGTTACACACAAAATAAAGTGTATAACTTCCGTGAATTTTTCCCCTTATAATATTGAAAAAAAATTATTTAACTTAAAAATTTACCCAATTTCCGTAACGGCGAATTTTTTGTCTGTATCCCGAATTTATTGGTCATAAGTTACAAAATCAGTAAGAGCGAATTTCCGTAACCCGGGGAATGCCTGTACTCTTGTGGTGCTGCTGCTCTCGGGATAGTTATGGGGTGCACAATAAACTAGCCTCCATCATACAGCCAAGCTTATGGAGGCAAACCTTACACATACACCTGATGGCAGATGTTGAGTAAAACCTCCTCGCATCACTGCCAGCCCAGAACACGTGGCAGACACAGCTGTCATCAGGCATGGTGAAGCAGTTGTAGTGGACGTCTCCCCTACAAACTGCGTATCGCATTCCAATGTGCCGCCTTCCCTAGCAACCAACCAGATGTTACCGTATCTTAGCAACGAAACGACTCACCGGCGACTTTCTGGGTTTTCCCAACATGACTCATAGCGGCTGCTGCTGGGTATATAAGCTCTGTCTCTCCATTGAGATTCATTCTGACCATTCTTCTTGAACAAGCAACACCTCCTCCTCCTCCGCTGCCTGGCTGCCTTAGCTCCTCCCTCCGCCTGCCTGGCGGTCCTCGCTCCCGCCAGCGAGCATGTCCTTCTCTGAGCTTCCTCACCAACCAACTCTCATTCTGGCCCATCTTCCTGAACACGCAACACCTCCTCCCAGCAAGCTCCTAGCTGTCCAGCATTCATTCAACCAGGAGGCCAGCAACAGGCAACATCTTATCTAACGAAGCTCCTGCACATCTACCTCCTTCAACAGGCTACTCACCGAACGTCTCTACTGACCAGCTCCTCACCACACGGCACCTCCAGCACCAGACTGTCTATCATATAACTATATTATACAAGAAAACCACATTAGAGTTTCCTTCCATCCTGAGTGCTAGACAACATTAATATCTCGATACCCCTACACAGTTTTATGTCTGCCTGCCTTCCTTAACACCAATATTAAAAGCTATAATTACTGTGTATGTGTTTCTCTCCAACACAGCATCATCACACACACACATTGAACCACAAAATGATAAGGAATATCAATGTGGATGAGAAGGATGATGTAGAGACCTTGAGAAGTGAGCAGAGAAAGTGCCAGGGATGAGAGGACTCTGGTTATGAAGCAGGCAAGAATCTGGTGACTTATCAACACACACACTCCATCGGCTGTGCTCAGTGATGGAGGAGGAGGACAAGTTGTGGCTGCTCATCTGTATGGCCATATTGATGTACACTCGAACACACACAGGTTTATGAAGGTCAACACTACAGTTTGGGGATGGAAAGATCTGATCATAGTTGTATGTTTCGTGCGAGTCAGGTGAGACAAATCCCAGATTCACGACTGTACTTGTTCGGGGATGTACAGGTCACAGGGAGTGTTCAAAGCTCTCGGTCACTCCCTGTTAACCCTGACGAAACTTACATTACTACAGCCTGAGAACCTTTTTTTATGCAGAGAAGAGAGGAAATGTGAGAAGCTGGGTGCAACAAGGTGGTGAAACGAAGTGGATAGAGGAGAAAAGAAGATTGTTTAAGGCCTAGAAGAGGAGAGGCAGCAACAGGATTCACTTGAGGGTCTGGTGAATAGTGTAGACACAAGAGGCGAAGAATAAACCGATAACTAGTAGGCAGTGTGACCATGGTGACGTGGGTGTTGATAACGAGGTAATACTACGAGTGACTATTCAGTGAGAAGTACTAATGGGGGCAGGAGCAGCCTAGGTGTAACAAAAGTGACCACGATAAAGGACTGGGTGGAGAAATCAAATGGCAAAATGAAGAATGGAAAGGCTGTTGGAAGTACCGGATAATACTATAGGTGTGGCAATGGTGACCGAATTGACTGAAGCATGATTCTCAATTGAATGATTCCCACCTAAACAATTACCACATAAATGATTCCCACCTGAACAATTCCCACCAAAACTACCATCTGTTTGAGGTAATTTTTGTCATTCAGCTTAGAAGATTAGATTAAGTTAATTTTTGTTAGGATACGTTTGGTTAAATTAGGTGTGGTTTAACTAGGCTTAGTTTGGTTACTGTAGTACTTGGAGTAAACCTGCCATGTTAGGTAGTATCATCCTCAATGGTTAGTACAGTAGGAAACTGCAATACATTAAAATTATCACCGATCATAAACTGTAGAATTCTTACTTAATTGACGTCATTGTATCTGTGTGTTTGTCTCTGTTAACTGAATTAATCCTGAATCCCAAATCAATTGCAGTGCAGTTTACAGTATTACAACGTTACATAAAATAACATTGATCGTGCGGGTGGCAGCGGGGCACACATGATGCTGGGGCCAACTTACCTGCCTGACAGACCTTACCTGTGCTTGGGGCTGACCACACGTGTATCGTTATCTCTCCCTGACCTGATCTTAGGTGATATAGTGATCTATAAACCCATATTCCAATCGTGATTAAGAGATTAGCGATGTGAATTCCTGGTGAAGTTTAATCTCAACAAAAATCAGAATTGGACTAACAGTGAAAAATTTATTTACTGGGATTTTTTTTTCCGTAACTGATTATGTGATCCACACGTCATCAAAATGGTTAAAATGATTATCTACCATCGTAAAAGAGGGAGATAATTGGTGATTAAGGCTGTAAGAAAAGGGGAAGTGAGTATGTTGAGGGGAAGTGTGACGTCAGAACGATAACACAACAAACCTCGACGGTAGTCAAGACTCATGGACATTACCAAGGTGGGTGGCTCTCTCTCTCTCTCTCTCTCTCTCTCTCTCTCTCTCTCTCTCTCTCTCTCCATAATTCAACACATGTACGATAACTGTACAGGTGTGTCAATAATTTAACACCAGTATAACTAATTTAACGTTAGTATTATCACATATCAGTATACTAAGTTAACACCTGCATAGATTAGTTGTCACCTGCGTAAATTAGTTAACACCTGTCTCACTAATTTTCAAGAAACAATAATAATAATAATAATAATAATAATAATAATAATAATAATAATAATAATAATAATAATAATAACAATAATAATAATAATAATAATAATAATAATAATAATAATAATAATAATAATAATAATAATACCAGTAATAATAATAATAATAATAATAATAATAATAATAATAATAATAATAATAATAATAATAATAATAATAATAATAATAACAATAATAATAATAATAATAATAATAATAATAATAATAATAATAATAATAATAATAATACACAGAGGTTATACATTATACACCATATGCCTACATCATACACACACACATACACTACATCACATATACACACACACACACACACACACACACACATATAACCTTTACATATGAACAACACAGAGAGTGGCGGTGAATAAAAAATTCATACACAGACCAGTATATTGTGTATTAAACCAGACCTTAGACACAGACCAGTATATTGTGTATTAAACCAGACCTCATACACAGACCAGTATATTGTGTATTAAACCAGACCTTATACACAGACCAGTATATTGTGTATTAAACCAGACCTTATACACAGACCAGTATATTGTGTATTAAACCAGACCTCATACACAGACCAGTATATTGTGTATTAAACCAGACCTATACACATCAGTATATTGTGTATTAAACCAGACCTTATACACAGACTGTATATTGTGTGTACAAACCAGACCTTATACACAGACCAGTATATTGTGTGTATTAAAACCAGACCTTATACACAGACCAGTATATTGTGTATTAAACCAGACCTCATACACAGACCAGTATATTGTGTATTAAACCAGACCTTATACACAGACCAGTATATTGTGTATTAAACCAGACCTTATACACAGACCAGTATATTGTGTATTAAACCAGACCTCATACACAGACCAGTATATTGTGTATTAAACCAGACCTTATACACAGACCAGTATATTGTGTATTAAACCAGACCTTATACACAGACCAGTATATTGTGTATTAAACCAGACCTTATACACAGACCAGTATATTGTGTATTAAACCAGACCTTATACACAGACCAGTATATTGTGTATTAAACCAGACCTCATACACAGACCAGTATATTGTGTATTAAACCAGACCTTATACACAGACCAGTATACGGTGTAATAAACCAGACCTTATACACAGACCAGTATATTGTGTATTAAACCAGACCTCATACACAGACCAGTATATTGTGTATTAAACCAGACCTTATACACAGACCAGTATATTGTGTATTAAACCAGACCTTATACACAGACCAGTATATTGTGTATTAAACCAGACCTTATACACAGACCAGTATATTGTGTATTAAACCAGACCTTATACACAGACCAGTATATTGTGTATTAAACCAGACCTTAGACAACTTGTGACGTATTGATATAATTGCATTTTTTCTTCCTCAGATCGACAGTCAGATGCGGTTCTGTACTTGGGAGAATTACGGTGGTCTCAGGCGCCATTATATGTAAGTATTAATGGTCTTCTGGGGGTTATTTTAATGTTAATTTTAACTTACTATAGTGCTACCTTAACCTAACCTAGCCTAACCTAACCTAACATAATTACTGGGGCATATTGTTATTTTAATTTCTTTACAGTGTGTGTGTGTGTGTATGTGTGTGTGTGTGTGTGTGTGTGTGTGTGTGTGTGTGTGTGTGATGTTCTGTTGTAACAAGGTACCAGTGTTGTAACAAGGTACCAGTGTTGTAACAAGGTACCAGTGTTGTAACAAGGTACCAGTGTTGTAACAAGGTACCAGTGTTGTAACAAGGTACCAATGTTGTAACAAGGCATGAAGTAATGTAAATGGTACTTGAAAAGGTAAAAGGTAATTAGGTAAATAAGAAAATAGTCAAGTTGTAACAAGGTCAGGTAATAATTAAAATAAAGGTACTATTGTTGTAACAAGGTACCAGTGTTGTAACAAGGTACCAGTAAAGGTATCAGGCGTGTTGTAAATAAGGTACCAATGAGTAACAAGGTACCAGTGTTGTAACAAAAAGAAAGTAAATAATAAAAATTAATGTTATAACAAGGTACTAGTAAGAACAAGGTACCAGTGTTATAACAAGGTACCAGTAGTAATAAAAGGAGTGTTGTAACAAGGGACTAGGTGTTAAATAAGGTACCAGAGTAAATATGCATCAGTGTTGAACAAGGTACTAGTAGTTGTAACTAAGGTACCAAAAGGTAACAAGGTACTAGTAAGAAACAAAGTGTGTTATAACAAGGTAGCAGCAAATAGTAGTATCAGTAAGTTAGTGGAAAATTGTAAAGTGGTAATAATGGTAAATGTAAATAAAATGTACCAGTGTTGAACAAGGTACTCAGTAAGGTAAATGTACCAGTGTAACAAGGTATCAGTGGTAACAAGGTACCAATGTTATAACAAGGTACCAGTGTTGTATCAGTTCAGATGCGGGTCAGAAAGAACAATATTCTGGTTATTGATTCTGACAACAATCTCTGTCCGCAGGTGAGAGAGAGAGAGAGAGAGAGAGAGAGAGAGAGAGGAGGAGAGGAGGAGAGAGGAGGTTAAATATGAGGCAAATGTCCTTTAACAAAACCTGTAAATACATTTATAAAGAAACTTAACCTAACCCTAACCCTAACCTAACCAAACCTACGAAGGACAGGTGTAATGAGGGATGATAAATTACAGGTGTTGAAGGTGTGATGGTTGACTAATGGTGCAGGTTATGGGGCTGCACCATTGTTGATGTAATGGTTGCATGATGATTCGCTCTGTTTCTAGTGACTACCTGTCCATAACGCTGCATGAATCTCTCTCTCTCGTTAATGTCAAGAGTAACGTCATGTGTCTGACGAATTTATTATGTATCGGGTTGGTGCCACACCACTACCCCCACCACACCACCACACCACACTACCACACCACCACCACCACACCACTACTGAGTACAGGCGCGTGAGGCATGGCCACACACTCTGTTATTCACATTGTGAGAAGGCACATTGTGTATTAGAGAACTGATATAGTTACTATGTAAAGGCTTCCAGTGTAGCCATTGTGCAAACATCAATCACCTACCACACCACACCTCTCACCACTACACACCTCTACCACTAACTCACACCTCTACACCACACCCCACCACTACCACCACTACCACCACACCTCACCACTACCACACCACCACTACACCACTCACACCCCACCACACCTCACCACCACACCCCAACACTACCACACCCCCACCACCAACCACCACGACACCCCACCACACCCCACCCCACACCCCTACCACACCACCACCACACCCATAACACACCACCACTCCCCACCACCAACCCACCACACCCTCACCATACAACACCACCCCAACCTCCACCACAACTCAACCTACCCATACCACACCACTACCACACCCCAACACCACACCACACACCCATACCACACCACACCACTACCACACCTTCCACAAACACCACACCACAACCACACCCTATCACACACCACACCACACCTCTACCACCACACCCACTAACACACTTACTTTAACTCCCCACCACACCACACCACACCCCACCACCACACCACTACCAACCCTAACAAACACACCTCTACCAATTACTACCAAACTTCCACAAAAGATACATCTAACCAGATATGTCTATTAAATGACGAGGACAAAATTACACTGAGACCACGTTAATTAGACGCCTCTGACCTAACGCTAACCAAACCACTCCTAACGCTAACCAAACCAAATTACCAACCCTAACTGCACCTAACGCCAAACCTACCCAACGCTAACCAAACCTACCCTAAACCCACCTAACCTAACTCAAACCCACCAACCAAACCTACCCTAACGCTAACCAAACCTACCCTAACCTACTCCCAAACTTAACTGCAAGCTTCCTAACAGCATTCGTCTTCTCCACAGCTGCGGTCACCCCAAGACCTGCTGTGCTCGGCTGTTGCGTCTCTACTCCGTTCTCCTTCTATCAGCTGTGGTATTTCTGGTACGTTTATATCAGCTGTTTTGTATTTACCATTATCAGCGTTTGTCACTTGGCTTTTGTCACCTACTACCACTACTACTAATACTACTACTAATACTACTACTAATACTACCACTACTACTAATACTACTACTACCACTACTACTAATACTACCACTACCACTACCACTACTACCACTACCACTACCACTACCACTACTACTACCACTACCACTACTACTACTACTACCACTACTACTACTACCACTACTACTACTAATAACCACCATATTCTCTGCTACAGGTTGCTGGTACTGTTGATAATATTGGTGTGTTCAGGTGGAGGCTGGTGGTTTAGGTGGCGTCACGGTGGCTTCAGTAACCACAACACTCCCTCTAGTAACCACATCAGAGCAAGGTAACTAACCTAACTTAATCCAAACTTAATCCGACTTAACCTAACCAAATCGACACCAGAACAAGGTACACCTCCTATTAGTGCATTTACAGGAGCTTGTCAGGTTTTGTGAGCGTGGCAGCGCTGTGTTTAGTATATAGTGAAGGGGAGTGTACTTAGGCTATATGATGAGCCCCTGTAAACACACTAGTGAAGGGAGGTACCTAGGCTATAGACGTAAACACACTCAGTGAAGGGAGTGTACCTAGGCTATATGATCAGCCCCTGTAAACATGACTCAGTGAAGGGACTGTACTCAGGCTATATGACCAGCCCCTGTAAACACACTAGTGAAGGAGTGCACGAGGCTATATGACTAGCCCCTGTAAACACACTCAGTGAAGGACTGTACCTAGGCTATAAGGACCAGCCCCTGTAAACACACTAGTGAAGGAGTGCCCAGGCTATGGGCGGACTAGCCCCTGTAAACACACTAGTGAAGAGGACTGCACGAAGGAGTATGACCAGCCCTGTGAAACACACCAGTGAAGTGAGTGCGCCTTAGGCCATATGACCAGCCCCTGTAAACACACTAGTGAAGGGAGTACCAGCTATGACCAGCCCCTGTAAACACACTAGTGAAGGGGATTGCACGCAGGCTATATGACCAGCCCTGTAAACACACTAGTGAAGGGGAGTGTACCTAGGCCATATGACCAGCCCCTGTAAAACACACAGTGAAGGACTGTACTCAGACTATAGCGAGACGAGCCCCGTAAACACACTAGTGAAGGACTGTAATGAAGCAGAAGTGACGAGCCCCTGCAACACACCAGTGAAGGACTGTACCTAGGCTATATGATTTGAGCCCCAAACACAACACTAGTGAAGGAGCAATGAAGGAGGCGACGAGCCTCTGTAAACACACCAGTGAAGGGGACTTCGTACCTAGGGCTATATGACCAGCCTCTGTAAACACACTAGTGAAGGGGATCACCTAGGCTATATGATGAGCCCCTGTAACATGGCCCAGTGAAGGGATCACTTAGGCTATATGACGAGCCCCTGTAAACACACTAGTGAAGGGAGAGTGTACTTGAAGCAGGCGACCAGCCCCAGAAACACACTAGTGAAGGAGGCTCTAGGCTATATGACGAGCCCCTGCAATTACTAGTGAAGGGACTGTACCTAGGCTATATGACCAGCCCCTGTAAACACACTAGTGAAGGGAGTGCACCGCGGGCTATATGACGAGCCCCTGTAAACGCACTAGTGAAGGCTGACTGTACCTAGGCTATATGACCAGCCCCTAAACACACTCAGTGAAGGACTGCACGAAGCTGCAAGTGACGAGCCCCTGTAAAATAATTCAGAAGGGAGTGTACCCAGGCTATACATGACGAGCCCCTGTAAACACACTAGTGAAGGGACTGTACTTGTGCTGCATGACTAGCCCTCAAACACACACTAGTGAAGGGACTGTACGAAGCATAAGGATGAGCCCCTGTAAACGCGAATTAGTGAAGGACTGTACCTAGGCCATATGACCAGCTCCCTGTAAAACAACACACTAGTGAAGGACTGGTACCTAGGCTATATGACGAGCCCTGTAAACACAGACTAGCGAAGGGGACTGTACTCTAGGCTATATGACTAGGCCCTGTAAACACACTCAGTGAAGGACCGTACTCTAGCCATATGATTCCAGCCCCTGTAAACACATTCAGTGAAGGGACTGTACCAGGCCAAGGCGACCAGCCCTGTAAACACACTCAGTGAAGGGGACTGTACCTAGGCTATATGACCAGCCCCAAACACACTAGTGAAGGGAGTGTACCCAGGCTATATGACCAGCCTCCCTGTAAACACATCTAGTGAAGGAGTGTAATGAGGGCTATTATATGACCAGCCTCCCCAAACACACTCCAGTAGTGACTGTACCTAGGCTATATGACCAGCCCCTGTAAACACACTAGTGAAGGGGAGGTACTCTAGCTATAATGACCAGCCCCCTGTAAACACACTCAGTGAAGGACTGTACCTAGACTATATGAGACGAGCCCCCTGTAAACACACTATGAAGGGGACTGTACTAGGCTATATGACGAGCTTCCCTGTAAACACACCAGTGAAGGACTGTACTAGGCCATATGATGTTTCCCTGTAAACACACTAGTGAAGGGGAGTACTCTAGGCTATGACGAGCCCTGTAAACACACCCCAGTGAGAAGGGACTGCACTCCTAGGCTATATGACCAGCCTCCTGTAAAACACACTCAGTGAAGGGGACTGGTACTAGGCTATATGACGAGCCCCTGCAAATACACCAGTGAAGTGGACTGTACTCTAGGCCATATGACGAGCCCTGTAAAAATACATTCAGTGAAGGGGAGTACCTTAGCTATATGACCAGCTCCCCCAAACACACTAGAGGAAGGGAGTGTACTAGGCTATATGACAGCTCCTGTAAACACACACTAGTGAAGGGACTGCACTCTAGGCTATATGTGACCAGCCCCTGTAAAACACACCTGCTAGTGAAGGGAGTGTACCGTGGCTAAGGACGAGCCCTGTAAACGCATCACTCCAGTGAAGGACTGCACGAATATATGACCAGCCCCTGTAAACACACGATCTATGTAATCGTACCTAGGCCATATGACGAGCCCCTAAACACACTAGTGAAGGAGGTACCTAGGCTGGCGGGGCGGACGCAGCCCCTGTAAACACACCATTGAAGGGACTGTACCTAGGCTATACAGACCAGCCCCTGTAAAACACATTCAGTGAAGGACTGTACCTAGGCTATATGATGAGCTCTGTAAACACACTACAGTGAAGGGGACTGGTACTAGCTATATGACCAGCCCCTGTAAACACACTAGTGAAGGACTGTACTCTAGGTTATATGACGAGCATGTAAACACACTAAAGAAGGACTGCACGAAGCAGGCGACCAGCCCTGTAAAACACACTCCAGTGAAGGGACTGTACTAGCCATGACGAGCCTGTAAACACACCAGTGAAGGACTGTACTGCAGGGGCCATATGACCAGCCCTGTAAACACACTCAGTGAAGGACTGTACCTGGGCTATATGACGAGCCCCTGTAAACACACTAGGGTGAAGGGGACTGTACCTAGCTATATGACCAGCCCCTGTAAACACATCTACAGTGAAGGTGGACTGTACTAGCTATACAAGTATGAGCCCCTGTAAACACACTAGTGAAGGGGACTGTACCTAGGCTATATGACGAGCCCCTGTAAACACACTCAGTGAAGGGGACTGTACGTAGGCTATATGATGAGCCCCTCAAACACACTATAGTGAAGCGACTGCACGAAGCCATGACGAGCCCCCAAACACACTAGTGAAGGACTGGTACCTAGTTATATGACCAGCCCTGTAAACACACTAGTGAAGGATTGGTACTCTAGGCCATATATGACCAGCCCCTGTAAACACTAGTGAAGGGGACTGCACGTAGCCATATGATTGTGCCCTGTAAACACACTAGTGAAGGACTGTACCTAGCTATATGACCAGCCCCTGTAAACACACTAGTGAAGGACTGCCCAGGGCTATATGACGAGCTCCCTGTAAACACACCAGTAAGGGACTGTGTACTCAGGCTATATGACCAGCCCCTGTAAACACACTAGTGAAGGAGTGTACCTAGGTTATATGACGAGCCCCTGTAAACACATTAGTGAAGGACTGTACTTGGGCTATATGACCAGCCCCTGTAAACACACTCAGTGAAGGACTGTACTCTAGGCTATATGACCAGCCCTGTAAACACACCAGTATGCTGACTGTACCTAGGCTTATATGACGAGCCCCTGTAAACACACCAGTGAAGGGACTGTACTTCCAGACCATATGACCAGCCCCTGTAAACACATCACTCCACAGGGGTGAAGGGATCACCTAGGCTATATGACCAGCCCCTGTAAACACACTCCAGTGAAGGGACTGTACCTAGGCTATATGACCAGCCCCTGTAAACACACTCAGTGAAGGACTGTACCTAGGCTATATGACCAGCCCCTGTAAAACACACCTTGTGGTGACTGGACTTAGGGCTATATGACCACAGCCCCTGTAAAACACACTCAGTGAAGGACTGCACCCAGGCAATATGACGAGCCCCTGTAAACACACTAGTGAAGGACGTAATTTGTGCTATATGACGAGCCCCTGTAAACACACTAGTGAAGAGGACTGTACCCAGGGGCTTGATGGCTAGACGCCCTGTAAACACACCAGTGAAGGGGATCACCTAGGCTATATGACCAGCCCCTGTAAAACACACTAGTGAAGGAGTGTACCTAGGCTATAAGTATGACGAGCCTGTAAAACAAGCCACCAGTGAAGAGGACTGTACCCAGCTACATGACCAGCTCCTGTAAACACACTCAGTGAAGGACTAGTGAAGGGGATGGCTATATGACGGCCCCTGTAAACACACTAGTGAAGGGGACTGTACCTAGGCTATATGACCAGCTCCTGTAAACACACTAGTGAAGGGGACTGTACCTAGGTAATGTAGTTCTGTGGAAATTTAAAAAAAAATTATGTCAGCCTTTATTCTCATTTAGATTCTCATCACTGAGGGTCTACCTAACCTAACCTAACCTAACCTAATATAACTTAACTTACCTAAAATGCGATCATATGACTTACATTATATTTACCAGACGTCACAGGGCAGCCAGAACACAGGGACACAGTGGGGTCAGAGTGTACCCTCATCCACACAGCTACTACACAGGCCAAGGAGCTCCACCTGATGACTACACCTCCGGGTTATGATAAAGGTAATTGTTTACTATTTTGACTATCTGTTTGTTGTTTGTTAGTTTGTTTTTCATATATAATGCTTTAAATAACGAAGACCAGGTTAGATTGATAGGTGTGTGTGTGTGTGTGTGTGTGTGTGTGTGCAGGTAAAGAAGGAACTAACTATTGTATCGAACGTGGGTCCTCGTTGTGGGGCGGTGAGTACTTATACGTAAAGACCACACACACACACACACACACACACCTCCTAACCAGTGGTCAATAAATAAATATCAGTGACGTCATCGCCTGAATCGTACCCTAGTCGTGACGTCACACATCCACGTCATGACATAGTTGGGTCGTGACGTCACATATATACAAATGACTGGATATAGGTGAAGACTGACATACAAACAGTTATATGACTGTTATATAACTGTCATACGAGTGATAATGACTGTTATATAACTGTCATACGAGTGATAATGACTGTTATATAACTGTCATACGAGTGATAATGACTGTTATATAACTGTCATACGAGTGATAATGACTGTTATATAACTGTCATACGAGTGATAATGACTGTTATATAACTGTCATACGAGTGATAATGACTGTTATATAACTGTCATACGAGTGATAATGACTGTTATATAACTGTCATACGAGTGATAATGACTGTTATATAACTGTCAAGGTTTAGTGATAATGACCGGGTTAAGTATAACTGTCATACGAGTGATAATGACCGTTATATAACCGTCATACGAGTGATAATGACCGTTATATAACCGTCATACGAGCGATAATGACTGTTATATAACTGTCATACGAGTGATAATGACTGTTATATAACCGTCATACGAGTGATACGATCGTTATATAACCGTCATACGAGCGATACGACTGGGTTATATAACTGTCATATGAGTGATAATGACTGCTTATATAACTGTCATACGAGTGATACCGACTGTTATATAACCGTCATACGAGTGATAAATAATGACTGCTATATAACTGTCATATTGAGTGATAATGACTGTTATATAACTGTCATACGAGTGATAACACTGTTATATAACCGTCATATGAGTGATAATGACTGTTATATAACTGTCATATTTGAGTGATACGACTGTTATATAACCGTCATACGAGTGATAATGACCGTTATATAACTGTCAGACGAGTGATAATGACCGTTATATAACTGTCATACGAGTGATAATGACTGTTATATAACCATTACATGAGTGATAATGACTGTTATATAACTGTCATACGAGGATAATGACTGTTATATAACTGTCATACGAGTGATAATGATTGTTATATAACTGTCATACGAGTGATAATGACTGTTATATAACTGTCATACGAGTGATAATGACTGTTATATAACTGTCATACGAGTGATAATGACTGTTATATAACTGTCATACGAGTGATAATGATTGTTATATAACTGTCATACGAGTGATAATGACTGTTATATAACTGTCATACGAGTGATAATGACTGTTATATAACTCATACGAGTGATAATGACTGTTATATAACTGTCATACGAGTGATAATGACTGTTATATAACTGTCATACGAGTGATAATGACTGTTATATAACTGTCATACGAGTGATAATGACTGTTATATAACTGTCATACGAGTGATAATTAAGTTATATCTGTTAAATATCAGTTTTATCCCCAATAGTAGAGAATATATATACAGATAAGTTATGTTAAGTTATGTTAAATTAGGTTTGGTTAGGTTAGGTTTGGTTAGGTTAGGTTAGGTTAGGTTATATAAGAGCTCAGATAAAGACACTACGATGCTTCCAACAGGTAAATTAATTATTATGTTACGAGACACACACACACACACACACAAGGTGAATGTCAGACAATGATATTTCACCTGACATTTAGCGGCGCCTCTAACACAAAGACCTGACCTTAACAGCAGATAACGACGCAAAAGGAAGAGTCAGGTGGATGGCAGCCTCATGTGGCGGTCATAATGCGTAGGAATACTGACCTAACCTAACCTGACCTAACCTAACCCAACCTAACCAAACCTAACCTGACCTAACCTAACTCAACCTAACCCAACCCACCCCAACCTAACTCAACCTAACCCAGCCTACCACCGAACCTAGCCCTGGTGGACGATGGTGTAACCTTACTCGAGTGGGTTAGTCATCGTCCTCAAGGAGTTCAGTCATCGTCCTCGGGTTACTTCATCGTCCTCGGGTTAAGTCATCGTCCTCAAGGGTTAAGTCATCGTCCTCTAGGAGTTCAGTCATCGTCCTCAAGGGTTGTCATCGTCCTCAAGGGTTGTCATCGTCCTCAAGGGGTCAGTCATCGTCCTCAAGGTCAAGTCATCGTCCTCAAGAGGTTAAGTCATCCTATTGAAGGGGTTATTATCGTCCTCAAGGGTTGTCATCGTCCTCAAGGAGTTCAGTCATCGTCCTCAAGGGTCAAGTCATCGTCCTCATAAGTTATCGTCCTCAAGAGTTCAGTCATCGTCCTCAAGGGTCAAGTCATCGTCCTGCGAAGTAGTTTAAGTCATCGTCTGGGTTGTTATCGTCCTCAAGGGGCGTCATCGTCCTCAAGATTAAGTCATCCTATTGAAGGGGTTAAGTTATCGTCCTCAAGGGGTTAAGTTATCGTCCTCAAGGGGTCAAGTCATCGTCCTCAAGAGGTTAAGTCATCCTATTGAAGGGTTAAGTTATCGTCCTCAAGGGTTAATTCATCCTATTGAAGGGGTTAAGTTATCGTCCTCAGGGGTCAAGTCATCGTCCTCAAGAGGTTAAGTCATCTATTGAAGGGTCCATCGTCCTCGGGGTTAAGTTATCGTCCTCAAGGGGTTAGTTATCGTCCTCAAGGGGTTAAGTCATCGTCCTCAGAGGTTAAGTCATCTATTGAAGGGTTAAGTTATCGTCCTCAGGGTTAAGTCATCGTCCTCAAGAGGTTAAGTCATCGTCCTCAAGGGGTTAAGTCATCCTATTGAAGGGGTTAAGTTATCGTCCTCAAGGGGTTAAGTCATCGTACTCAAGGGGTTAAATTCATCGTCCTCAAGGGGTTAAATTCATCGTCCTCAAGGGGTTAAGTCATCGTCCTCAAGGGGTTAAGTCATCGTCCTCAAGGGGTTAAGTCATCGTCCTCAAGGGGTTAAGTCATCGTCCTCAAGGGGTTAAGTCATCGTCCTCAAGGGGTTAAGTCATCGTCCTCAAGGAGTTAAGTCATCGTCCTCAAGGAGTCAAGTCATCGTCCTCAAGGGGTTAAGTCATCGTCCTCAAAGAGATTAAAGTCATCGTCCTCAAGGGTTAAGTCATCGTCCTCAAGGGGTTAAGTCGTCGTCCTCAAAGGGGTTAAGTCATCGTCCTCAAGGGGTCAAGTCATCGTCTCAAGGGGTTAAGTCATCTCGTCCTCAAGGGGTCAAGTCATCTCCTCAGGGGTTAAATCGTCGTCCTCAAGGGGTTAAGTCATCGTTCTCATGGGGTTAAGTCGTCGTCGTCGTCGTCCTCAAGGGGTTAAGTCATCGTTCTCAAGGGGTTACGTTCTCAAGGGGTTAAGTCATCGTCCTCAAGGGGTTAAGTCATCGTCCTCAAGGGGTTAAGTCATCGTCCTCAAGGGTTAAGTCATCGTCCTCAAGGGTTAAGTCATCGTCCTCAAGGGCTCATGTCATCGTCCTCAAGGGATTAAGTCATCGTCCCAAGGGGTCAAGTCGTCGTTCTCAAGGGGTTAAATCGTCGTCCTCAAGGGGTTAAGTCATCGTTCTCATGGGGTTAAGTCGTCGTCGTCGTCGTCCTCAAGGGGTTAAGTCATCGTTCTCAAGGGGTTAAGTCATCGTCCTCAAGGGGTTAAAGTTATAGACCTCATGGGCTCAAGTCGTCGTCCTCAAGGGTTAAGTCATCGTCCTCAAGGGGTTAAGTCATCGTCCTCAAGGGGTTAAGTCATCGTCCTCAAGGGGTTAAGTCATCGTCCTCAAGGGGTTAAGTCATCGTCCTCAAGGGATTAAGTCATCGTCCTCAAGGGATTAAGTCATCGTCCTCAAGGGATTAAGTCATCGTCCTCAAGGGGTTAATTCATCGTCCTCAATGGGTTAAGTCATTGTCCTCAATGGGTTAAGTCATCGTCCTCAAGGGATTAAAGTTATAGTCCTCAAGGGCTCAAGTCATCGTCTTCAACGGTTAAGTCATCGTCCTCAAGGGTTAAGTCATGTCCTCAAGGGGTTAAGTCATCGTCCTCAAGGGGTCAAGTCATCGTCCTCAAGGGGTTAAGTCATCGTCCTCAAGGGGTTAAGTCATCGTCCTCAAGGGGTTAAGTCATCGTCCTCAAGGGGTTAAGTCTGAGACGGTATCCTAATCTTCAGGAAATACAACTGAAGAAATAATCCTTAGCTTATATTCTCACCCGGAACCAAGACCCAAAACAAACCGTGGGAGTTTTTCCCCTGTGAATCTAAATTTATATAAGTCATTTAGTGAGCGTATTACCCAACAACAATTATAATTAAAATCCCAAACATAATGTAATAAATAATAATAAACGTATACATGGTAAATATAAACGTTATAAATAATGTTTTTGTGGATAAATATGAAAATAACAAAGAATGTGTTTTTGTTTACAGATCCGCCATCTTACAACGAAGTTATCTCCCACCTTAGTCAGTTCCCGCGAGCAGGTGCAGAGAGTGGAGGTGTGTGGGTCATGACAGTGAATTTCCTGGCACAGTTAGTCTTTACACACTGTAGTTTAAACTATAGTCTTTACACTGTTTATAATACAACAGTTACCAATATCTTATGTACGCGACAGTCACCAGTCTTTACAAGCACTGTAGTGTAGTACGTGTAGTATCTTTCATCTGGCTTCACTATTGATGTCTGCTACAATAGTTTATTCACCTGAAGATTAATCACCCCATCGCTAACCTAACCTTAACCTAATTTAACCTTAACCTAACCTAACCTTAACCTAATTTAACCTTAACCTAACCTAACCTTAACCTAACCTATTAATGTCCGCTACAGTACAGTAGTATATTGATTCACCTAAAGATTTAACACCCCATCTGTGAGGTGATCATTAAAATATGTGTTATTGAAGGCTTGTCTTGTGTTACAGGGACGGAAGACGCTGGCGGTGATGGGATATTACCTAGTGCACCTCATGTGACGGCCTCCATCCTCAACTGCCAAATGTCTGTCCCTCCACCCAGCTACGAGATGGTACTAGACCTCAAGAAGCGGGAGGTGCAGTTACAGCGAGAGATAAACGTGGAGGAACAACTGGAGAGCGTTAATAGTGCAAGGAGTAAAATACGGAACATCTTAGGGCGGGTGAGGCCATACACAACTACCCCAGAGTCGCAGCCTCCCGCCCTCGAGGCTTACGTCCCAACCAACTTCTCCTCCTCCAACACTACACCGTCAGGACTCTTCACCATCAGTAGGGAAAGTCTCCCCTCTCAGGAGTTTTACAACCGGGCGTCATCGTCGTCAAGTCATCCACAGTCGTTAGGTATTGCCCGTAACACATCGTCACCCTCCAGCGTGGGGTCCTCGTCACACTCAGACTACTCCTCGTCCTTCATCTCTAGTCCTTCCTCCGCCGGCAGATCGCTAGTGACGCCGCCTCCCCCTGAATACTTCCCCCCTTCTACCCCCAGATCAGTCGACGTCATAAACCCAGACCCCCAAGACCCGGCAACACACACGGAGGAGCCCCCGACGCTGGATCACGCCGGAACCTCACGTCCCTGTACAGGACGCTCAGTTCTCTCCCGGCCTACTACCTCTATAAGCACCCGCACCCTCCCTCCCCCTCCCCAACTAGTGAGGAAGACCAGCCTGCCAGGGGCGGTGCTGGAGAACGACGGGGACAAATAAAGGATCAGCCATGATTCTCCTACACACACAACAAAGCACCGCTGTGATGCAAAAAATCCGTCCTGCTGTCAACCCTAGTAACTCACCCATGGCGGACACTGTTGGTCACGTCTGAGTGTCTCCCACCAGCACAACACAACGCCACGTTATCAATAAGAAATAAACACTGCATTATGTCCATAAGTGTAATGACCATCCAGAGAGGGACACACAATCACTCGGGGAAGGGAAACTGATAATAAAAGCTTCAGAAACTGATGATCACATGAATATTAAACACCACCCTAACGTTAACTTAACCCTACGCTATCCCAACCTTCCTTAACATAACCTACCCCCAGATAGCGTTAGTGTGTTTAATAAGGTGAAGTCAACAAGGGGAGTAATCTTCAACTAATTCACTCTCCCCCCAGACTTGGTGATCGGTAAGTCCCTGTACAGCATATACCTACATCATTATATACCTTATATCTACAGTACAGCTCTGTAGGGTATAATGTAGGTATGACAAGGTATATAACAGAGTAGGTATGACAAGGTATATGACAGTGTAAGTATAAGCTGCATAACAAAGAAGAACTGAAGTTATATTAAACCAGGGACTTTACGATCAGTTGTACAATACGGTTTCCTCCAACGAAAATTAATCTAAATAACAACAATAAGAACTTGAACAAAATGACTTGGTAATCTATGGTAAAATTCTCTAAATGAACAAATTAAAGTTATAATTGAGACTAAGACGAACAAAAAATGAGTCAAACCAAAGTAAGCATTATGATCGCTGGTTCTTGTTCGTGGTTATTTCGGTGGCACTCGATAGATATACTAAATAAGCTATATATTTATGACCATATTTTCTATATTTCTATATTTTTCATTGCTGTTAATGTCACGTAATACTGTTAATAATACACTTGTGATGTGGTGTTCGGTAGAGATGTTTTGAATACAACTGTAATTATTAGCCTAATGTTTCTTCTTAATTTTTACCATGACGTGTGAATAACGACGAGATTATAACAATATAATAATACTCCGTCCAATGATAGTTTATTTTATACATTTTAAATCTTTAGAGGTCCGGAGAAAATTGTACAGCTCATATAGAACAAAACTTGATAAGGTAAAAAACACAATAAACTTGGAAAAAAAATATGCATTAATGAAGGAGATAAAATAATTATAAAAACAATATTTACTGGCAACAGGAGGCTGAGTGTTAATAATAATGAACGCACTAATTGGTTCACAGTTAGATAGGGAGTAAGACAAGGGGGTGTCAAATCTTCAGGTGAGTTACCTTAGATAAATGCATTGTTATTATTACAAACAAACGTACACATGGGTCACCTCCAAGCTATGAAAACCATGACTGCGGCAGGAAGGCGGGGCGGGGCGGGGCGGGGCGGGCTGGGGTGGGGCGGGGCGGGGTGGGTCTCGTGACTACCTGTGTCGTGTCAAGTAAACCTCGCTGCAATTGGCATCACTACTGGTGTCATGAGGAGTATCTACATTTGTAACACTGTTTATATCGTGATGATAATATACCTGTTTGGTAACACTGCCAGTCTTATGTAATGTTTCCTTGTTATTTAGTAACACTGTCTGTCCAGGACGGTTTATCCACCAAACTTATTGTTTAACTGTGTGTAGATGCCGGTGTTTTTGTGTAATATACTGTAGTTAGTCACATCATCTTAGGGTCCCTTGTTTATCACAGTCTGTCACCCACTAATGTTTGCTGTGTTGTTCAGGCTGAAACTTATAATAATCCCTTGATCTGCTTATACCAAAATACGCCATTGAAATAGTGTATAGACTTTATTAAATAGCAACCATGAGTAATATGTCAGGGTTTTGACTGTAATAAGAGTAAAATTATTAACTAATTCATCTTTACTTCTACCAAATTTATAAGTTTAAACTATTTTAAAACACTTGACAATTAGTACTTACTGGGATTGGGTCCTGTTCTTATTAAGCTCGGCTAGACGACAATGAGGTAAGAATTGTGAGGAATCAACCTTCTTGTGGGGAGTATCAAGGTGAATTCCTAGTACTGTACGATGAAAGAGGAGAGCTTGACAGAGTTTTGGGTGGCAATGGGCTGTTGTTGTCAAGTTAATTTTGTGAAATCCAAATGCACTGTATTGACCGCAGACACACCAGAAGTTCCATGACTTAGAACCTTTTCACACTGTTTTATTGTAGCAATTATATTTTATGCTGCCCCTGTAACTACTGAGACCACTAATAATAATGAATTTAAATCTCATTCGAGCAACGTTGCTTCGTGTGATTCGTCGAAGGAAAGGTGTAGATGGGGGCCACTGCCAGGGTGAGCTAAAAACACCTATACTATCAAAGTCTTGGCGGTAAAACAACCACAATGTGAGAGATTATATTACAAGACGAGAGGTTTGGCTGCCTCCTCGCCCAGTGATAGCCAACTGATGTGACAATGAGTGCACGAAAATTACGACTACAAACATGATATGTGTTGCTTTCCCGCGCGGCAGCTTACACCTCCCTACACCGTGGTCTATTAATGGTCACTTATAAACTAGTGAAGAAACGTTACCTTAGGGTTTCTTAAGTTTGGTTAGATTAGCACCTGATTTCAGCCATTTTAATATTTTTCCACAACATAATACAGCATCCTCTAATAAAATCAGGGAAAACTGGGTATTTTGAAATAAATTTCAATAAAAACTAACGGACGATCACTCCAAGTAATTACAGAAAATGTAAAACTGACACTCCTTCAAATAAGCTGTGTGTACTATTTCGCTGCTGCTTTTAAATATATGAGTTGTAGCAGCTACATACAGTATTTGCAGCATTTGCAGCATTTATTAAGTGAATCCTTGTTTAGTTCTTTATCCTTCGGAGAGCGATGGAAAGTTATATCACCTGTTTTTAATTTGTGATAAACTACAGTAACTGAGCAAGAGCTTGGCCTGCGCAGTGAGCAGGGCTCCCGCTAGTAGCAGCAAGGATTACCTTAGATGCTGACTGATTTTTAACACAGATTTATCAAAATTACCTTAAAACTGAGAGAAAATTTCCTTAAAGATGACCTGTTCCAGTGTTGGTCAAGTCTGGTCTTGAAACAGCTCACACTCGGTGCCGTCATCACACTCTGGCAGATACAAATAATATTAATATGTAAAGAAACTATTTGTTGCTAACGTTAATCATTTTATGAGAACTACGAAGGACAAATTGATTTCTTCATTTTGGTTATCTTGTAACAGTAGAAGTGATATCTATAAATAATAATATTTCTAGTAGTTCATGAGACAAGAGGTGTATCTAGAGTATATATAAATAGTTTTGTTGTTAGTCCAATATTAGAGCTACGAGTGAGTAGTGTCTGCAGTACAAACTTAATGGATAAATATTAGGATGTTGTAGTACATTAGCTGCCGCATTATTCAGCACATTTTCGACAATGAAGCAGCAGCCGTTGACATCTTTAGGGCTGACGGTGTTTCTGTAGTGTGGGAGATGTTACTAAGAGTGTCAGTACTATGCCTGGTACTGTGTTAAGTGACTTAAGTCTCACCACTATCCTCGGGTATCTACGGTAAGTTTATTACGTACTAGGGGTTAGGTTAGAGTAGGGTTTTTTTTTATAGGTTTTTACGCTGTTTAACCTTTCACTTATTTTCCTCGAAAGTCAGTTAGGTGTTGGCAACTACTAAATATTTACCTCAACCTCACAGGAGTTTATTTTCACTGGCGGTCACCCAGAGATTAGAGCGCCTAGCTTATACTACAGACGGGCAAGGGGTGACCTGAGGTGTATAAACATCTCAAGGGGCACTACTCAGTTGAGTGTCCTGACCTGGAGCTGGCGGACGCTCGCCCCACAAGGGGTCACAGCTCAGGGTTGAAGAAGCCACAAGTCCAGAAAACTGTGAGGGCAAACTTTTTCGGAGTGAGAATTGTGAACTGTTGGAACAACCTGCCAGAGAGTGTTGTGACGGCACCGAGTGTGAGCTGTTTCAAGACCAGACTTGACCAACACTGGAGCAGGTTCAGGTACATCCAGTAACCAGTACATGCCCGGTACTTACCAACAGTGTTTAACAGAGATGTGACCGACCGCCCTAGTGGATAGAGATGATCAGTGGTGAAGAGGAATAAAGTAAAGTATAAGTGTAGCGTTCATTATTACTGCCGTTTGATTTCACTCGTTTATTATTACGGTCCCATTTTTACTGCCGTTAATTTTTAGTCGTCCTTACGAGCTAACTTCCACTGATGATGGCCACCGTCCCCACATTTAACTTAACCTCTGTCCAAGGATTAATTGACACAAGTTAAATGGATGTACAATATATATGAGCTTGATGAAGGGCCATTCTAATCCAAGCATCAGCCTCAAATTAAAACTCGAAAACTTTCATGTCATTGTTGAGTTTTACGGCGGCAAGTGCTACCAAGAGTGAACTAGAGGCGACCAGTACATGGAACATAATTACCTGTTCTAGTACCTGATACATCCAGTACCTGTCAATCTTTTTCTCGGCCGGTAAGCTGATAATGGCAATACAGCTACGGGTCTTCATAAATGGTCAGTTCATCAAACATTATATACTTTTATTCCACACACAGAGATACAGAAACAAGTGTGATTAGTATACAGTAATTACAAGTTAACATTAAAACATTACAAGTAGCTTAAGGGTGTGTTGAGTCCTGCGGGGTTAGGGACGATACATGGTCAATTCACATTAATTATTATGGTCGTATCTTTAATGCACAGTATATTATAACGCCATAACAAACCATCACACTGTGTCAAACTGTTATACACTGGCATCTACACGGGGAGACAACTTTGTTATTACAGGTAAAATGGAATGATAAAACTTGTGTCCAAACCATATTGTCAACAGTTTCATTATTTTAGGGTCAATATACTTTACTTCACATTGTTAGTAATATAAAATACAAAGTTAAAAATTTGTATTACTTGTTTTGTATTAAGGGCTAATGACATCCTCTTTAAGCAATACATTTAATCTACAGTAAATTGTTTCTTACTCAGACTGCCCAGTGCAGCTCTATTTCACTATTTATTTTCATTGTGCCTTAATCCCTACCAACATCAAGTTGATCTCTAAATAACATTATCCCACATTTTATCTTATACCTGTCCAGCATTTTATCTTTTTGGTTAAAAAAAATTAATTTTCGTTAATTCCACATTGATCTTTCAGTAACATCTACTGTATTAACTTATTAGCAATGTTATTTTTCCATATTCATTCTTCCTTTCACTGTTATTTCTTGTTATCCCACTGGGTTATTGTAAGGAGGGTAATCTATCAGTAGGCGTTGCAATGATCATAAATCAGCCCTTCCACTCATCACCCACAGTGCCTGTCGGCTTATGTGACAAGTGTTAATACATGTTATTATTATATTTTACATTTTCGTGGCACTTTGATATCCCTGACAAACTCGTCAACATTTGGTATACGGGGTATACGGATCTCTTCAAAAGTTAGGACGGTGGATGACATTTCATTAGATTATTTTCTTGGGCACCTACTCCACTCACAAATGACCATCGGTTCTTGTAATATCAGTGTTCGTTATCAGTCACAACTAAGCACAATCCAGTAAACGTAATCTTGGTAGAATCGATACACCCAGGATGTCAACTATATCATCCTCCTCCTGTTTTCAGTGACAACACCACAATACAGTACCATACAGAGAATTCCAGCATATTAAAACAAAAAACACCCAACAGTATCGTGATGTGCTAACTACGTACTCTGTAAAGGGGACTACTTGTCTACTATGAATTTAATTTCTTCACGAGTCATGTCTAAACTCAAAACAAACATCCAAATGGCAACAGAACTTCAGTACATCCATAAAGGACTGTAATTTACTTTATAATATTATTAGTGGAGTTTAAACAGATTTCTTGGCTAGGTTTAATATGGGTGGGTGGACTGTTTGAGGGCAGGTGTTCAGTATGTTTGTCAAGGTCATGTCTTCAAGATTTATCCTTCTTGCACTGCCAATATCAAGGCATTTTCTCAAAGGACAAAACAAAATATATAAAATACACACAATCATTCACGCAGCACATAATTGTCAGGTTCCCATTAGGAGTATTGGGTCAAAAGGTTACCTTGAATTCATTAACACTAAATGATTATAGATCTTCAACCAATTCATAGTTTTAAATTCATGTCAACAGACTTTCTTGTTAATGTATTTTGCAACTTGACCATCACTAATTTTCCATTTGTTCGGGGAAAACTTTTTTGTTAATAGTTTCAACTTTAGTAGATTTATCTTAAAATGTGTTAAGACAAGTAAAGGAAACCATTGATGTACAGAAGCCAACAGGGAAAACACAACAGGTTCCCATAATCAGCTGAAGCACAACCACACAGGAGGTGAGAACAGCTAAATATATTACCTTTCTCACTTTTATTTGCCATGATACAAGTAACATTGTATACAATAGCCTGATCATAATAAATACAATGTACATCATACATACATATCTTTTACAACAGTCTTGATCAAAAATTAAAAGCTAAGATGACTCCCAACACATGAGGATTTGGTAATTTTTTCAGTTTCCTCCGAGGAAGGCGGCCGGAGTGTTTAAGGAAATGCTCTTTTCCATTAGAATTTTCGTAAACACAACACAAATGCGTAGATCTTATATAAAAAACTCTAGGGGAAATCTTGCTCTTCCTACACATTTGCAGCTTCAAGTATAACACAGACGAGGGGTGCAGCCTGGCCGAGAGCCATCGCCTGTGCCATCCTAAAACTGTGGTCGCCTCGCAGGGGTCCTCACGGTTGGGGCTGGTACAGGTCAGGTGTCGCATAAGGCACCCCCAATTGAGCACCATATTCGTCACCAGGATGCACAAGCACACACACACATGCCCGAGTGCACAAGAACGCACAAGCCCGCGTGCCTGCCCGACACAAAAGTGCAATTACAGTATTATAATGAAATTTAAATGATTAAATATAAGCAGACCGACTCGTCTATCTCTACGATTATATATATGCCAGCCTGTACTGCCAGAGTAGACTGTCCAGTACAGTACAGCCTAAGCCCGGCAGGACCGACTATCCCATTAATAATGGCTTTATGGACTCCTAACAATTCTTAAAGTTTTGGAATGATCAATTTCTTGGACTGTTCCCACGGGAACTGTTCTCGTCCAAAATGTCCGTAGCACGAAGTTTCGCTGTAGATGGGCCTCTTCAAGCCTAGTTCTTTAACAATGCGTCCTGGCCGTAGATCAAAGTTGTGCTTTACAATCTTCAGTAGCTGCTGGGAAGTGTACTTTGAGGTTCCGTAGTGGAAAATGCTGATGCTTACTGGCTCGGCCACGCCGATGGCATATGACACCTGAAAATGATACAATCCTTATAAATTCTGTAAATGTGTTCAAAAATTTACTATACCTGGAACACAGCTGTTGCTACTAATACAGTTCCAGATAATCACTACCATGCAAACTGTACATTATTACACTTGCCATCCTCAAGCTCCTACAACACTGTCCACCTCTTAGGGTATTCTGCCTCTAATCTGTTCAGTTATGTGAACAGTCTTCAACCAAATATGTTAGATTATTTAAAAGAAATTGTTTCAGCCATAAGTAAATAATTATACGTGCACACAATGATCTTCTCAATACAATAAAGGTTTTACCATGAAAGCATATTATTCACTGGACCCAAAACAAGAAACTATAAAGCTATGTAAACAGTTACCTTCAATTATGGTCTCAAGGGTCAACAAGGTCATTATGGTTTGGTGTCTTTAAGTGTCCTGAAGAGTTTCCTCTACTCACAGCTTCAAATTTGATGTCAACAAGTTCTACAATGTTTACTGGTGATGACCCTATTTAATCACAAGTGACCATTTATATATGAAGAATCAGTTTGTATAATTTTTACGCTTCTCCCGACAATAATTCTGGTTACCGAGTCGACACAACTCGTCGGATAACCTCCAACCTATTTTGTGTGGACATTAAAGGTCAACTCACCTGTACTAAACAACGTCTGCAAATTCCGTTCTTCACTAGAGACTTGGCGACCCATCTGGCAGCGTAGGCAGCCGAGCGGTCCACCTTAGTGTAGTCCTTGCCCGAGAAAGCTCCACCTCCGTGCGCTCCCCACCCACCGTATGTGTCGACGATGATCTTCCTGCCAGTAAGCCCGGCGTCACCCTGAGGTCCACCCACGTTGAACTCTCCGCAGGGGTTAATGTGATACTTTGTCTCATCATCGAGATATTCTGCAGGGATGACAGCTTTAATGGCCTTCTCCATGATTTCTTCACGCAGTGCTTCTACCGTTATCTTTTCCGAATGTTGTACAGAAGCAACGATTGTGTGTACACGTCTGGGGATGGCAGCTCCATGACTGTAAGGTCGAGAAAATTATGAGTCCTACTCAAAGTGAGGTTTCTGTTTATGTACACTTTAATGATAGCAAGAAGTAAAAAAGAACTAGATAATTTAGGAAAGAAAAGGCTTCATTATATTCATGATTACTCTCTAGTAAAAGGTACATCTCCGTTAACCAGAACAAATGGTGCAGAGCGCTTCTGGGAATGACAGATTTCTGGGTAATGAGAAGACTCAAAGCCAGACAAAATTCCTCATCCCAGGAATTTTCCAGGTAACGGAAAAAACAATCTCGGAAGTTCCAGAAACTGCCCATCACATCATCTCTAGAACCCGGGAAAAACTCTCCCATCGCTGGAATTTTCCGGGTATCGGTAAAATTTTATCTGAATTTTTGTAAAATCATTACCAAACGATCATCCGAGAAAATTTAAATTCCGGCCATCAGACTTCCGGGTGCGAGGGAGACCAGTTAATGGAGACATTACTGTACATATAACAATGACAGTGAACCAAATTAAGGTAGTTAAACACACCAAAACCTTAAAAAAAAACTAAGTGCTGTAACACTACACAGGCCATACAGTGACTATCTTAAACAACCAGCGGCTCACAGACAGACTTACTCAAAGGTATATTCGCAGGTGACTTGTGTCTTGCTGTCGGGTCGTGCCCACCATAAGGTTCCGTCTCTCCTCAACTCCGCTATCTTTTGATTCAGACGGTGTGCCAAGACCACTGTCAGGGGCATACACACATCCGTCTCATCAGTGGCATAACCAAACATCAATCCCTGAGAGAAAACATCAACATAAGATGACAACATCAACCACATTATGTTATCACCATCATAATTACCTGATCAACATTTATTAAATATTTATAGCAAAGTAAAATTGATCATCTATCAAAATGAATGATCATACACTGAAGGTTTAGTTAATTCCTTAAGAGTTACAAGTAAAGTGAGATTATAGTGAACAGTTTTAGTAAATCAACAAAACACAAAAAAACGGACAATTACCCAAGTTTTTAATTAATGAAAACCAAAATCTTTGATAAATTAACAAAGCAATGCAGATAAAAATGCTGAATTCAAAACATAAAACACCAACGAGAAACTTATATAAATATGACAAAAACATGAGAATGGTAACGATATCTCGAGTGAAAAATGTGGTTAACAAGAAACAGTTTAGCACATTAATAGTGGACTACTACCGTGTATATAGACAAGAGAAAAAGCTCCTATATAGCAATTAAACTCCATAACTGTGGGACCAATGTAACTGCATTAACGAGCTCACAGCAATGTAACCTACCGACGAGGTCTGTGGGCAAGTAATTCCGTTTCTCTACAACTGTACCGATTTTAAACCCAGTCGACACCTTAATCACATCATTCGCCGTCTATGTGGTTCAGTTATATGACCCATCACTTTAGGTCTCCCAGCAGTCGTCACTTTAGGTCTCCCAGCAGTCGTCACTTTAGGTCTCCCAGCAGTTTTTAGGTCTCCCAGCAGTCATTAGGTCTCCCAGCAGTCGTCACTTTAGGTCTCCCAGCAGTCATTAGGTCTCCAGTCAGGTCTCCCAGCAGTCGTCACTTTAGGTCTCCCAGCAGTCGTCACTTTAGGTCTCCCAGCAGTCGTCACTTTAGGTCTCCCAGCAGTCGTCACTTTAGGTCTCCCAGCAGTCATCACTTTCAGGTCCTCTTCAATTCTCCACTACACTGTTTACAAGTAGTATTGGATCTTTAATGTAGCAAGTGTTGTAAAATTCTGGTCTTAAAGGAGCCTAAACTTGGTACCATAACTACTCAGATTATTTATTACAAGTCAACAACTCTTACTGTATCTTGTATACTTTTGGCTGTGACCTCTACTGAAGGAGGTACAGTATAGTATCCAGTTCTTCTTTCTGGGTGGGGGGGGGGTGTTTGTCAGGTTTCGAGTGGTCATAAATCTGTACTCTCGACAAGATTTCACCTACAGTACACTGAAGATCCGAATACATACAGTTTTTGCCATACAAGATGCATTTCGCTTGTTAAATGGCCCATGATATCAAGCTTCATCTTGCATCTATGCAGTATTACCTTAGTCCATCACTGTCTCTGTTGAACATCTCTCGATACACTATAAACAACGTACTGTGAATAATTCGTACTGTATATCATTGGGAGATTTTTATAAATACTTATTCAGATATAAAGAACTTAATTTAGTACTAAAGCAGGGAGTTATGCAGCATTAAGAGAGAAAAAAAGACAAAAATAAGATACATCTAAGCTGGGCACAAACTCAAATTAGAGAAGAGCCAAGAAACTGCCAAATACGCAGTACAGTACAGTACACTGAAGCCATCAAGAGATATTGACATGGTCTTACCTGATCCAAGTGAACAGTGTCTCAACTTTTCAAAGACACAAACACTTATAAAACCAATTACATATTTTCACACACAGTAACATACACAGGCCACCTAAAATGACCTTTGTTGTGGTCATTTACAATCCTACTACAGTACACTGCTCTAATAATGAGAAGACTGCAGGAAGGTGAACGTCATGCAATACTAAGCCAAGCTAAAGAGCTGGGGTGCCCCTCATGTGTTTAATTAACTTTTAGATTTTAAAGTGAAGTCCTGATATTTCTTTAGCCAAATTACATCAAAGTAGAATTGTCCTCGGTTAAACCAGGGTCAAAACCAGAGTAAGACTGGTGTAACATTCTTTATAGAAACCCTCCAGCTTTACAAACCTCAAATAGCTATGATTTAGGTTTGCAACAGTAAGATTTGCCTAATATTCCTTAATAAAAATAAATAAATGAATAACTTGTAGAAATTTTAGGCAATACAAGGCTCAGGTGCTTCACAAGAACATCAACCTACAGCTGAAATATAAAATACCATAACTCATCATCACCTGGTCGCCTGCGCCAATGTCGTCGTCACTGCGCCCAATGTGAACCCCTTTAGCAATTTCAGCACACTGTTGCTCCAGGGCCAGGAGAACATTGCAAGTCTTGTAGTCAAAGCCTGTGAGGCAAAGACCCAACCACAAGTAAGCAAATTTACACACACAACTAGAGTACAGTACAGTATGGTGCCAAGTGCATCACAACAAGTATAAACGCCTCAACCAATACAGTACCCCATAACGATGATACTACTGTACTACAAATTGCAGCTGTAAAGACAAATTTTCTTCGTGGGAAAACAGAAATGGAACCCAAGCTGTACAGTCTCTGAACATGTTTAGACGAGTCAAGTTTTTTCGTCGTCTGATCTGTGCATTGAAATTATGTACAACGTCTTAATTTATGGCGTGTCGAGTTTTTTCTCAACATCCAACAACAGAGAATATACAGCGGGTTTCATCGGGGGTTAATGTAGACAGAGAAGTAGAGAGAAGTGTGTACGCCCGAGCAACACCCACACCCGAGGTGCAAGCCACGGTGACAAGTGAATGACATAAGTACCTGGTCGCCTGCTCCAACATCTTCTTCGGCTCTGTTTATATGAACGCCATCGGCAATATTTGGCGACTGCTGCTCAATGGCAACAAGGAGATTACACGTCATGAAGTCGAAGCCTGAGTGCAGGGAATAACTATTTGCTTTGTGCACCACACCCTTATAGGTCTACCCTTTACACATGCAATCTTAACAATACTGCTGTTACCTCACAAATTCAATCACATCCTTAAAACTCAATACAATAATAACTACAAAGGTCCTTTTTCAGTGTACAAAAGATCCAATTTTATAAAATTATTTACAGTATATTCATTAAGTAAATTAGTTTTAAATTTACATTAATGACTCCCAGAGCATTATTGAGCAGGGCTTGTGGCCCGGATGAGATTAAACTTCTGAACCAGTTGTAAAGTGAAGCTGAAGCCAAGTTATATATATACTGCTCTGTTCTGTATAGTATTATGTACTAGTGAGATATGGAAGAAAATGTAGCCAAAAATGGTGCAACTAAAACCTTGTATTAGTACAGTACTTGCTGACCATCTTGTCACCATACAGTAAGATATACACATTATGTCCACAACACTATTATTACCTACAGAAATATAATAAATTATATATATATATATATTATTACCTACACAAATTATTATTATTACCTATATATAATAAATTATATATACTGTATTATCATTACCTATGTAAATATAATTAAACTAGACCCAAGCGTTACGGGAATTCACCCTTACAGACACTGTATATCACCACCACTTAAATCAGGATACTAAGTAAATTTGCCTCTTACGGAACATTTACAAAAACTAATATTATTTAAATGACCAAATGCAAAAAAAGAAAATTTAGATAAACTTTAGGTTTATTTTACGAAATTCCAATCGGATTCGTTTTTAATCTTGGAACGCGTCGGTTACAGTCTGCCTCTGCTTCTAGCTGTTGTGGTTTCTTTTTTGTTTTTATTGTCCGCAGAGAAGCGAGCAAGTGCCAGAACTATCGAGTGTACTGTACCATAACGAGTAAAGGAACTACACCCGTTGTTGAATTAGGAATTTTACCGTCACTGTTAAAACTTAATGTATTTGTTAAGTTGTTACAAGCTTTTTCATTAGAGTAGCCGTGTGAACGCATCTTGACGTTTAGCATGGGAGGACAATACAATACAGTACAGTAGATAAGAAAAACTGGTTCGCGTTACGTAAATCTATACGGCAACTTTCTCAAGAATACATTCATTCCGTAATGCAGGGTCCAGTGTTATCTTGTCATTACCTATACAACTATAATCAATTATTACCTATGACATATAAATATAATTACTATACTTACATCTATTAGGATTACCTACATAAATATATTCAATACTATATCATTATCATCTATATAATCATCTAGTTTATATTAATATTATCCATCAACTATTATTACCACATAAATCTATCAATATATTACACAAGATTAACAATGGCTTCCACTAACCACCTCACACACAACACTACAACAATAATACTTACCCTTGCCAGAATCGTCATAACCAATTTTCTTTATTGTGTCTCTAACAATCTTCTGATAGTCGACTTGTGCCTTGGATGTGATCTCCCCACAAATAAGGATCATTCCAGTCTTTGTACATGTTTCGCAAGCAACCTGTCGATTAGCATTTATTAGTTAGTCAAAACCTACCTGACAAAGTTGGATCAGGCTGCACAGGTGATAAGGTTTGTCACACAATACAGTATGTGGTGAAACAGTCCCAGTTATCTATATAATGTGGTGAAACAGTCCCAGCTATCTATATAAAATGTGGTGAAACAGTCCCAGTTATCTATATAAAATGTGGTTAAAGTCCTAGTTATCTATATAAAATGTGGTGACTCCCAGTTATCTATATAAAATGTGGTGAAAGTCCCAGTTATCTATATAAAATGTGGTTAAAGTCCTAGTTATCTATATAAAATGTGGTGACTCCCAGTTATCTATATAATGTGGTGACAGTTCCAGTTATCTATATAAAATGTGGTGAAACAGTCCCAGTTATCTATATAATGTGGTGACAGTTCCAGTTATCTATATAAAATGTGGTGAAACAGTCCCAGTTATCTATATAATGTGGTGACAGTTCCAGTTATCTATGTATGAGGTGAAACAGTCCCAGTTATCTATATAATGTGGTGAAACAGTCCCAGTTATTTATATAATGAGGTGAAACAGTCCCAGTTATCTATATAAAATGTGGTGAAACAGTCCCAGTTATCTATATATAATGTGGTGAAACAGTCCCAGTTATCTATATAAAATGTGGTGAAACAGTCCCAGTTATCTATATATAATGTGGTGAAACAAATCCCAGTTATCTATATAAAATGTGGTGAAACAAATCCCAGTTATCTATATAATGTGGTGACAGTCCCAGTTATCTACCCTAAGGAATTATACGTAATAAATTAGGACTCACTTTAGCATCGGGGTCTTGGGTGAGGTGAGCGTCCAGCACTGCATCACTGACTTGGTCACATATTTTGTCTGTAACAAAAACAAAATAACTAACAATAAAAAATAATAATTTCTTCTTTAATAATAGTTCCTGGTAGGGGTCTAATCTTCACATGGTCGTAAAAGAATATTAGATTTAAAACCAAAGTCTTTATAGATTAATTCCGTAGGTTGTGTCAGTCATTGGGTTCAGGCTTATCAATTGAACCCCCACCACAGGTAAATTACTTTATAACCTATATATGTATCATAACTAATGTCCGTGACTTCTGAAAAATGAAAACACCATTTAAAGATAATATTAATCTGAATATTAATCTAAGTTATATTCCGAAGACAATTATCAATGTTTTATAATTTTATTTTCTCATTGTTCAAGAGCAAAAAAAATTATATAATTTAAATTGTTATATTCCATTTAACTTTTTTTTCCACTTTTAGATTAATGTTTATAAGGAACTACTAAATGTATAAACAATTACGGTATTATCCTTAAAATAAATGATTCCTCTTATTTCGCTCTTCAGGAGGAGTCACCGGGTCTTAATGTTCGTTAACCTCAATGTGAAGTAACTACACCTATTGGTCCTCTCACCCAACTCCATTTACATTAACAGGTGTATAAACCTCCCAAATACATCAAAATAAACAATCTTTCATTCATCAGACACTAAAATTATCAATAAATTCCAAGATATTCGTATAATAATCAATAACAGTCGACATCATTCTCACACAAATAAACTACATAACTATAAGGAATTATTTAATGGTCGTTATGTTGCCATTACAGTCCATTACATCACACATGTTATGAAAAGTTAAAACACGTGTGTGAAGTATTTATAGAGGCAGACACTTGTAGTAGACTAAGGTACCAACACACCCCGCTGTCACACGTACGATCACCTTCAACAACACTTATCACTCAACTAAATACCACTGTACCTCATTAACATATTAAGATTTAGCGTAAAATAATTAAATAAGCTTGAAAATGGAGTTAATAAACGTTGAAAAACTTAATTAGGTACGAAAATAAGATACTTGGGGGGGGGGGGTTGGCAGGTGGCGTCGTATAAGCAGACAATGTAGTGGAGAGGGGTAAAATATTCACTATAAATCACTAATAAAAATCTTACAACTAACACAACAATATATATAAAAAAAATAACATATCCAGTGCATCACGTACCTGGATGTCCCTCTCCTACACTCTCACTAGTAAAAAGAAACGTCTCCATGTCTTCACACTCCGCCCCCGTGCCAGGAGCGTAGCCATTCGTGTACGAGGAGGCGGACTCGGGCATCGTGTGGGTCTCGTCAACGCTGAGTGGAAAAGAGGCAGAATATAACTCGCTGCCGGTATTTATAAGCCTGGGAGTAGTCACGTGATCACCGTCGTGCGCACCCAACCCGGTAACTTCAAAACGACCCCTAAAACAGGTGAGTTAATGAGGGTTGACACCACCACTCAGACCTAGATGGTGTGTGTTGATGGTCTGTCTTGTTCTGTGATTCATTATTGTTTCTCCTCCATATTAATACTTTCGGAAAACACTACCCATAATCCTCTCCTCTTGACCATAATTTACGATTACTTCACTCTTTATACCGAACAATACTTACCTGTACAAGCCTATAGAAAATTAAACATATTTTAAATACAGTATCTCCATAGTGTCTAAAATTTACCACATTTACAGAGTTAATATTCTTTGGCAAAATAATTATCGAAATAATTTTTCTTAATATTTATGTAAATTATGTTTGGATACGAAAAGTTGTGGAATTAACTGCAGTAAAAGGAAATAATTATTCAATGTGGTCATTATCGGTGGATGGGAGGAGCCTGTGAGCCAAGACCCTCCAGAGTAACCAATGAGAGGTGAGTTTTGTCAGCTGATAGACTCAAGGACAAGGCTCACTGTCCCACACATGTGATCTACCCAACACACACACGGGACCACGTTATTTACCTCAAAAGCAATGTATTATGAGTTAGAAATTAAAGAACTCGACATAATTATACAGTTATTGGTATTGTTAGCGAGTGAGTGTGTAAATCGCCCCCAAGAGACTAATGTCATTGTATCCTTGTCTCTCACTGCACCAAGTAACAACAATACGTGAATTAATAAAAAAAGAGAGAGGTTCATTAATTTATAATACACAAGACACTAAATTACCTTAGTTGTTCTTTTTTGCGTAATATTAACACTAAAATAACATCAATTGGGGAATATTTAGAAATATAGCCAATATATCTTACTACCATTAATCAAAATATTTTATGTTTTAGCGTAATTCAGAAAAAAAATTGTAAGCGTTAAGTCCCTCAGATATATATTAACCCATACATACAATCAGGTACAGTAACTTACCTTTATAATTAGTTTTAAATTGATTATTATTATCATTGAGTACTTCGTTAAAAGGGGGAAATTCGCCTTTTAATGTGTCCCACGACGACCGTTTTCTATGACGTAAATAATTATACAGTAATAAAATGTAAAATAAAAAATGGAAGCGATATATTTTACAGTAATATTTATTTTTTGTTGAAGAATAGTGCATATATTACTCTACATACGCAGTTAGTTACTAAAGCGTAGTAATATTTTAACAACAATATACTTGATCATAATCTATATATTTTTTTTTGATGTTGACAACTTGTGTACAGTTTTTCCTACTTAAAACATCTAATGCTTCACACATCAAGTACCTGATATATTAATTACAAAATATCTTGGTTTTATTATATATTTAGTATTTAATGACTTCCATATGAATCGAATATAAAGTACTGCCCAAATCAACGGCGTATTGAGTCATTTACATTTTCATGGTCTTAAAACATAGGTCAATATATAAAGACCTGGCAGTATTATTTTACAGTAAGCATAATTTACAAATCCACGTATCATTGATGCCCTATAAACGCTACACACAAGCTTAAAGGGATTTAGAATGGCCTCCGTGGTGTAAATTATATCCATGACCGACTAATCTTAATAAAAAATATTTAGAGGTGGTTTTATGGACTTTATTGAGGGTAGGAAAAGTCTATGATACTACACTAGTTCACAAAATTACTATAAAATATCGTGGTTGTGTTTCAGATCTTAAAGTTGCGTAGTTAGGATGATGGTGCAGGAAATATGGTATAAATAATGTAGTTTCCACCGCCATTAATGACTTGAGCCCACTACAATTAACGTACAATCTTGTAGTTTAATTAATCTTGTAGTTACATCAGTTTCAAAAGCTCTGGGTTATACTGGTTACCGTCACACGTGTTCATATTTTTTTCAAGTATTCAGCCAATCGCCAGTGATTGTTTGCTTGCTCATAGTTCCCGGCTAAAGATAGTGGATTTATATAAAATATATCCGAGGACATATGGTACTTCGACTCAATTTCTGCTGTTATTTACTGTGTCGCAATACACATGATTACATAACATCTCCAAGTGTAAGCTCTCAAGGATGCGGTGTTGACATCTACAGGTCTGCCAGGAGATAGTGTGCGTGTGTGTTATCTGAGCTGACATAGGTAGTGACGCTGATGAGGGTGGTGACACTTGATACATAACATAAGAACATAAGGAGTCTGCAATAGGCCGGTTGGCAGCTCCTGTCGAGAGTTACTACCACTCTCTATCATCCATGAATCTATCCAGCCTCCTTTTGAAACTTTCCAGAGTTCCAGCACTTACTACAAAGTTGCTAAGCTTGTTCCACTCGTCCACCACCCTATTTGTGAACCAGTTCCTTCCTATCTTCCTCCTAAACCTAAACTTATCCAACTTGAATCCGTTGTTCCGAGTCCTATCCTGCTCGGATATTATAAGAACTTTATCTATATCCCCTTTATTGATTCCTTTCACCCACTTAAATACTTCTATCATATCTCCCCGCACTCTTCGTCTTTCTAGGTAATGCAAGTTTAGTTTCTTTAACCTATCTTGATATGGAAGGTTTCTAAGTCCCGGAATCATTTTTGTCATTCTTCGCTGCACCGACTCTAGTGAATTGATATCCATTCTATAAAGGGGCACCAGAACTGAACCGCATAATCGAGGTGCGGCCTGACTAGCGCCGCAAGATATAGTTGCAATAAGACCTCTGCACTCTTGTTACTTACACTTGTAGATATAAAACCCAATACTCTGTTTGCCTTATTTCGAACATTAACGCACTGTTTTCTAGGCCGTAGGTCCGGGCTTACAAGTACCCCTAGGTCTCTTTCACAAGTCGACTTCTCTAGGTTGATGTTGTTAAGGCTGTATACATTGACAGTATTTGTTCTTCCAATATTAAGTACGTAAATGGAAGCTCTGTTCTCTTAGCTGAATCAGTCAGGGTTCTTAAACCACCACTACATCGTATTAACAGTAGATAAATTAATGAATCTGACATACCAACAGTTTCCCCATAAGGAATATCTCCATCACCCCCATAATTCCTTTCATTGACCATTTTGCTGTGAACACCTTTCTCCTCACCTCAACAACCTCTACTCTGACACACCTACAGACAAATAATTGACCTAGACACACCTTAACGCTACCTGGAGGGGCTAATCATCAGGTGGTTTTAATTATACCACCTGATTGTCATTAGTAAATATCCGTAGTTGGTGTAATGTATAAATGTGGTGCTGACGCAATATTGGTAAATTATTTCTATGATTTTGTTACCCTTTTATACACGTTGGCATTAATATTTATGAGAAAATTCTAATTATAGATATGTAGATAGAATGTTGTAAAGAGTTGTGGAGAAAAGCGCGGGAGACTCAGGCAACGCGGGGAAAAGTTGCGTCATTACAGCCCAGGTTCAGTTACCAGTGAACTTTTAGTATTTAGGATTTAATACCAGAAGATTATGACGAAATAGTTCTTATCATTTTATCAGTAAGTTAGGATACATTTTTTATGAGACTAATCATTTAAAAAATTACTTAAGACAGCGTTATTATGTGGTTTTCATAGTAATATTTCACCCCTTTCTGCTTGTACCACCCAAAGTCTACTACCCACATCCACACAGTCTACCCACTTCTACTGCTGGGGTCTATTTGGATAACGAACTGCAGGGTAATAACAATAATGATAGTCGTTACGCGAACCAGTCCCAACTGGTTCCTTTGCAATATGCGTCGGCGATAAGGCCCGGGGGCTGGAAGCTTCAAGTTCATACCTCGGGGAATTATCTTACTTTCATCTGACAAACGTGTGAATATACCTGTTAATGGTGATATTTTAAGTTTTATTTTGTATTGATTCGCTCGTATGTGGTGGCTACAGGGTTACTCCACTACACTACCTTGTTCCATCATCATTCAGCAGTTATTGGGTTACCATTGGATACAGGAAGCAGTAACACCTGTCATTTACTACACGTTACTCCAGTATCTGGTTGTGGTGACGGGGCAAATTTGGTGAAGTCAGGGGAAGAGTGCGGGTCGTTATTTTATCAACCATTTAAATAGATTTACGTCAGCTGTTTTATTAATATATATTTGGGATGGTAATTGGCTCACCTGAAGAATAAACCCTTAGTTTATTCCACCTTAAGATTAATTACCCTAAGATAATCAAACATAACCCAGCCAAAGATAAACCAAACTTTAAACAAGCCTAATCTAATTTGACCCACTAACCCATGATAAAAAATAAATAAAAAGAACGAAAAGAATTATTGATAAAACATTTAAAACTTAATCGAATGAAACGTAATCTGGTTTCTATGGCAACCCGTCTGACAGCAAGCATTTCCCGCCATCAGAGTTACCAGTTTCATATGCATCTAATAACACCCATTTAATATTCCTGGCTGCAGCTTAATGATGATAATAGCAAGAATTAACTTTAGTTAGTAATAATCACCCTGAATGTATTTACAAGTTGTGTATTTACGTAAATGGTATGTAATTATGTTTCTATGGTAACGCATCTCTTCCCTCCCCCCAAAAAAATATATTTATCGGCATCGTTTGTAATATCATTTATTATACTCATCAAATAACATTCTTAATTTATTTCTTGTTAATATGATTCCCAGAGTTGCCCCCACGTAGCGTTATTAGTGATAAGAGCAAGCAGAGTACACGACCTCTACACCTGGTCGTCCCACGGTGACTGACGTAACATGTAAAGCACTGTAGTACCATATGGCGTTGACTTTATCCTAACTTAACCATCTTTTATACATATATTTACCGAGTTTATTTTTCCCAATTATAAAGGTTATTTTTCGTTGTTATTTACTTCAGTTTATTTACTCGTTATAAAAGTTTGTTTGGTATTGAAATATTCAATTATCGGTGCTGTTATATACTGGGCCGTCTACTAATATATGTAACCTAATAAAGTCACTGTACTGTAACATGTCTACGTATAGATGGAGACAAAATTCTCTGGACAGATGTGGTTAGGTTAGGTCTTCAGTTCGAGGTAGTAGATAATGACGAAAATTACGATGTTATTTACTTAGACTTTAGCAAAGCGTTTG